TGGCAATGGTTACCATGGTTATAAATCAACTACTTGCAAACTTTTAGTATAGTATTTTCGATAAGATCAAACAATGGTGGTGGGGCGTGGGCCAAGTTCAGGTAAGTCCGATTAGGACACGTTTTAAGGGTTCATTATGGGTGATTCTACATTTTCTACATAAAAAAAAACAAAAAAACTAAAAGGACATAAATTAAAAATCTGAAACTAATATAGGATAAAAATGAAATGATATAATACCAATGCGATGTTACATGCACATGGTATGAGTGCACCAGAATAAGAACCAATATTTACAAATGTACTGAAACGAAATGCGGAACAAAATTCTCTCATGTGTCTAAAAACATATTAAACAAGATACTTATAAAATATAATATATTAGGTATTAACACTATTTTTAGACAAGACGTAATAAATATAAGCTTACAAATACACTTTTTGGCAATATGAAATTGTAGTTATCAAATCCTCATAAACTTCGCCATCTATACAAACAATATTAAAAAGGTAAATTTAATTTAAAACGAAAATAGAATATAAATCATAGGTTAGCTGTTTGTTAATAGACTTCGAAATGTGGTACAGAGAACAGCACCGAACCATTGTATTTTAAAAAATATTGTAAATAGAGAGTAGTAAAACATTTGACATTAGCATACAAAGTTAACTATTGATATTTGATATGTAAATAATTATACCACTTACTCGTTTTGTTACTGCCACGACCAAATTTCATAATATCGGATACTATAATTTTATATTGGATGGTTATCGCCAAACAAAGTGAGCAATAAAATATATCATAAATAAAAGTGTAGAATGTAATGAAAATTAAAAACGAGACCTCAATTATATATATTAAATAAAAATATCTGTTGTAGGATGTCAGAAACCGGATAGTAAAAATTAATGGCATTTATAGCTGTTGAGCTATTCGAATCGTTTTTAGAAATTGTATAATAATTATAAAGAATTGGAAAAACAATCCATGAAAGTACGGTGGAAAAAATCAGTATCCAATAATAAAAAAACGTTGCAATTAGTTTTTTGAACCTCAATATAGTTTCATTATCCAATCGATCTTGCTGAACCAACAAAGAATCAGTACATGAGATATCTAATATGTTCAAAATGTTATTAGCCTTTCTGATATTACTGCAACACTTTTTTGTATAGCTACAAAACCTAAAATATAAATCGTTACTATTTGACTTAACCTGTAACTGTCGGTATTATGATTTTTTTTATATTTGTATGAGAGACCAACAAAGCTGAACAAAAGTATTATGATTGAGTATATGACTAAAATGAAACTAATTTTTGGCCATTGTTTAATAAACCACACGAATAAACATAACCGTTTTATGAGTCCGTTGTCAATCACTGCTTCCTTTCTACCATTCGATAAATCCACCATGGTTTCTTTTGTGCCTGAAATAAAACCATTGTATCATTATTGTATAATTTAGTAATAAGTAATTTCATACTAAAACCGAACCCATTATATTTAATAAATTTTTTTATGAAATTACTGGAAACAGTTTTACATATCAGTGTTATTAATTATTGTGTATACCATTATTTTACTGTATTATTATGTTACAAAAACGATTTTTAAACGAATTATTTGACGTTAGCGTTTAAACTTTATTGATTCGAACCAAATAATACTTAACAATAAAAATATATTATATTAAAGAAAAATAGCACAATTACAATTATAAAATGTGAACAACTCAATATCTCACTGGGTTTAATAAATAATTTAAAATTTTTTTTTCATTGTGTTTTTATACAGTGCGATCTCAATTTCTCACAATTTTTTTTTGTTTTTATTCCCTTCCCAACTTAGTTTTTTTGGTAGTAACTTTTGAAACTTAAATGGTAACGCATACACTTCATTAATTTTTTTAATAGAGAATAACATACTAAAAACTTTGACTGGTCGATAACCAGTTTTGGAAAACTATTTTTAAAGTTAAACGAGTTTAAGTTAGGGGAAGTGTGGTTGGGAAATACGCACAGATAAAAATAATATTTCACTCCCTTCCTCCTGCCTTGATACTTCAAAAATAGTTATCCAAAACTGGTTTTCGACCAGTCAAAATTTTAAGTATATTAATCTCATTTTAAAAAGTTATTGAAATGTATGCGTTGTTACCATTTAAGTTTCAAAGTTTGCTGTGTTGGGGGGAGGGGGGTAAAAAAAATGGTGAAAATCACATTGCATAAAAACACTATGTGAAGAAAAAATGTAATTTCTTATTAAACTCGGAGAGATATTGAGTGATTCACGATAAGTTGATCACCTTGTATTATTGTATTTAGTAATAGTTTAAATAGTTAAACTTATACTTGTGTGTAATAAGTGATTATCATATAATTTAGTAATTTAATTTTTTTGTGAAATTACTAGAATCAATTTTACATTTTACTGTTATATTGTTAAAAAAAAAAAGTATAAATGTTTAAAATATAAGGCGTTCTTAAAAAATCATTACAGCGAAAGTGAAGACGAGGACTATCATGGCCTATTTTTTCATTATTTCTTATAAAAAAAAAATCCCATTTTCGAAAAACCAGAAAATATAAAGTACACGAATTCCACATTGAATTTGTTTTAAGAATTGGTCGTTGCTCAAGTAAATAATAATAATAAATAAATTGATGTTAAAAACAATAATATATACAACCTAATCCTAACCGAAAATTGACAAAAAAAATCAAAAATAATTTTAAACTATAAATTATTTCCAGTACAAATTCGAATGGAGAGACAAGAATGTCTACAAAAATAATTGCGAATTATTAATAAATTTAAATACATACAGTTTATTTTGTATTTAAGTGAGCTGTTCAACCGGCTATTGGACACAAAGTGCGGCACTCTGTTTCACTTTACTCCATCGCGTAATTACAACAGTGTATTTTCCTTGTTATAGCTCCAAATGGCTAATGCTAAAGGACATAGCAGGCGATTATAGGCACTTAAAATATAATAAGATGGTCCGAATAAATAAAAAAAATTCAAAAATACTAAAGGCGATTGGCGAAGTAACGCCCTCAAATATTACCACACACTTAACCCTTACTCGGTCGCGTGGGGTCTAACAGAACCCTTTGAATGGGTCCTTAATAGGCCTCTTTGATGTACGATCAATCAAGGGTTAAATATTCCTTTTGAAGTGACTTTGTTTTCCTAATGACAAAAAATCTATGTCATACTTCCACTTGCACAGTGACTTCCGCTTGTTATCAGTTTGTAGTAGGTATATTACCTATACTTATGATGACCAGGTATAAAAATCTAAAAAAAGGTACATTTTTAAACCTAGCCTCTCCTCTATCATAATTGGCGAATGTGTATACTTTTCTACCCATTTAGTAGCCTATGCCATATCCCATAGGTCATCTCCATCTGTATATATTTTTTTTTTGTTATCTGATTACTCTATTAGGTATATATATTTCCATTACCAGCTATAAAAACTCAAATGATTTGAAATTACAATTGCATTATAATAATTTGAAACTTAATGCATTGGAAATTATAAGAAATATTCTAATGTATATGATTATTGAAAGTATTTATATATATATATTTAAATTAATTTTTAAAGGTAAAAATACCAAGTATAAAATTAAAATTATAAGTACAAAACTTTATTAATATGCTTCCTTCGTGATCAAAATGTAGATTTAATTTTAACACAATAAAAGAGGTACAATAAAAATAACATAATAAAGAGTAACTTAGTATCCGATTTTAAAGTTTTAAACATTTTATTGCAATTTTCATCGGAGTTTGTAAAAACCAGCATTATATTATATTTATATTGTATTTATATGCATTAACACTATTGATAAGGATAAATGACACTATAAAGGACAATGCATCAAAAAAAAGAACTGTCCTACTAAAAAGAGTACGTCTGGTCACCATACTTATCCATCATAAAGTATATATTGCTTGTTAATTTCTTTCAATGGAAGACTCATACAAAATTTACTCTGACGTGTCGTATTCGGACAATTATTCAGTTTATGTGCATCAAATTTATTTATCGTTTTTTTTATTTATTTTTACATAAATTATTAAGTTAGAAATGTCTTTTTTCTTCCACTATTAAGCGAGGAATATATTATTTAATAACAATTTTGTAGTAGGTATGCCTTCCACAGTGAACAGGAACCACATAAAAATGGATAAAATTATTAGTTATATTTCTATTGTTTGAATAGTTTTTTTAATCTGGATTCAGCGAAGAAAATCCAACAAATAGATGTATTTAAAAAAGATCGATTGAAACATATGAAATTTTAAAAGAATGTAAATTCAGTGAAAAACTGTTTATATTGAACCATTAAATAAGGAATTTTTAAAATCAAGATTCTTAATGGTATTGATGAAAATCACTATTTGTTACTGTCGAAAACGATCTTTATTTAATATATTATTAATTAGTAATTAGATTGGTATAATAACCTAAAAACGGAATTAAAATAAAATATTATGTTTTAATCCGTTTTGATAAACAAATCCTTCTTTTTTTCAATACCATTAACTTTTATTTTATTCTTTGTAATATTTTATATAAAGAATAGTAAAAAAACAATGTATTTTTTTTTTAATTTGTATAGATAACTACACCACAATTGTTTCTTTTTACACTTCTAAGACTTTTGTAACTATTAAATTATTGACAACAAAATCTGAACTTGAGTTAGTGTTTAACTAGTTATATGGACTTGCGAATAATAGTTTAAAAATAGAAAGTTACTTTACCCGTCTTTGTCAAAATCACAACCACTGGAGGCCGATAACACAATAATATTAGACATTTATACATGTATTTTATGTTTTTATAATTTCACACATAAACCTTAAGAAAAACAAAAAAAGCTTTTTATACATAATATAATTTAGCCGAAACTCAAATTAAAAAAAAAAAAAATAATGAACAGCTTGCTTTTATATTTTGTTTAAACAACAATAATAATTAATAACACCGTTCTTGTTTTACCACAATACTACTATTTCTCGTTACAAAATACTATTATTTAAATGATATTTTCATTATTATAAAATGACTTGCATCATAATGATCTCAAACAACGATTGAAAATGTAAGTAAATAATAAAATTAATAAATAATATATTTACAAAAAAAACATAAAATAAAATAACCTTAATCACAGCATAATGTAATAGTTTAATTAAGCCACATATTTTGTGAACCACCTGTACAACTTATGACAAAAAAAAAATATATATCTCATGAAAAAAAAAACAGTAAAAGATGAAGATAGAATTATTTGTCATTAGAATATAATATACCAAAGTAAAATAAATACATATTTCGGCTTGTGTAAAAACATGGTAATTACGAAGTGGGATTGGTGAATTTTTCGAGTCTTTTTAGTCGAATGATTCGTTGCTGTTCGGTTTCTTCAGGTGGTTCTTCTTGGGTTTCGTCGTTTTTAGAATCAACAGCCCTACCGCTACTTGTTTTAGCTCTATAAATTTGAATAATTGTAAAGTTAATTTAAAAAAAAACCGGTACAGTGAGGTCGGGACATAATAGAGCCGGGGAGATCACTGCTCTATAATAAACATTTAAAATTTAAAAATTTTATAAATTTCTGTAATAGATCATACCCATCACTACTGCTAGTAGATGCACTGCATTCTGTCGGACTGTCTTGCTTTGACGCTTGCTGTTCTCGATTCTGAGCGTTACTACTGGTACTAGGTACATTATTTACTCTACAAAATTTACAACATAATTACCACGTCAGTTTTTAACATGATTAAAAAATGCCATACTGCCACTTTGATTAATAAAATAACTATATCATTTCTCAAGTAAAAAAAACTTTCATTAGATGGCAGAACATGTTACAGGCAGACGGCAGTTGTCGAGCTGCCCGAAAACTATTATTATTGACGGTTAAATCTTTCCTTCCCGACCCAAACTTAATCTATAGTTTTTAAAATATGGTTTACATTTAAACTATTATTAATGTACCATTGTAACAAAAGCAAATTTGTCAAAAAAAACCAAGCGTTTTGTCAATTCCTAATTGATTTTCTACGTAGTGTGTAATTACGACTCAATGTTGTAAAATGAGAAACGTGCACAAGCAAACTTCAACATAAAAATAATAATCTGTCAGCTATTTATAAGCTTTACCCGGCTATTAGACAGGCTGAAGAATAATGGTTCATCATAACCATAGCCGCGTCCAACATGGTTTTTATGTCTGTCACGTATTTGAGGCGGGCCAGACACGCTTCCCTAGTGTTTCCTTCCATAATTCGTAATTCTTTATCAGAAAGGGCACTGAGGTTGTCAGGCACGGGCGGCGGTTGAATGGCGGCAGCTAAAAGAAAGTTTCGACCAAAATTAGAAGACTAAAATACAACTATTACTAATTATTATGATGGTACAACTAAGATTGTACAGTTAACAACAATACACTGAGAAAACACTATTACGTTTAAATTTTTACAGTTGCGTACATACACAGGAAGCATTCAACTAAAGCGGCTATCACAAAAGACCTTTTTTTTTTGGTCGGAAAACAATTTCAATTAATTGTAAAATCTTAACAACTGTTGAAAATTAAAAAAATAAAATAAAACTGACCTTAGAATTTTGCCTCCTTCTAGACACTTACTTAGGTCTACTTGTCATTTGTTTGAATGAAATATTGATAATTTTTATCATATAATTAATCAGAATATTTATCTTTAAAACCAATTTCTAGACCTTTTAAATGATTGATAAAGAAATTATGCTGTTAAAAGTAGTAGGTGAGTTTGTGAGATAACTTGTACAATTCTATTTTGTCTTGGATACACCACATATACCTTTAAAATTGCTGTTCAGTTCCTTAGATCGAATGTCCACAATGTGTTAAGTATAAGTAATGGCCAAGTACTAATTCTGTTCAAATTTAAATTATTAAAACATTGATACTTACCACCAATAAACGGCATGTGTAGAGGATTGAAGGGCGGTACAGCTCCAGAGGACGACTGGTTGTCTGTAAATAATTTTTTTAAGTAAGTTTAAGTACTATAAATAGAGAGAACTGACTATTTTTAACTAATAAACTGTTTTCAACGTCTACTACTGACAATTTTTTTGAATATTGACTAATTTGGGGGAAGGGAAAGTCTGACCTAATGCTTACTACAAGAGACAGGTGACTATTTTTCCCCTAGACAGACGTCTGTCCAGAGGAACAAACCAACAGTGGCCGAGATTCGAACCAGCGACAGTGTGTTATTACACTGCCGCCTTATCTCACTCAGCCACGCACCTGTCTTTATATATATAAAAAAAAAAAAAAATGTAGTTAATTACGAAAAGTCACAGATGATTGAATCAAACATTACGATAAATTAAAATTTTACTTGAGTTAAATGCAACAGCCGGAGTGTGGTTTGTAAATGAAGTCCAAAATTCGTTTGGTAGTTGCCTTCCAGTATCTCCATTACTATTATTAGCGCCAGAATTTGTTAGGAATGATCTAAGTAAATGTTCATAGTTTTGTGTGCTAGATTCGGGCACTGTGTTAGCAGACTGAGATGATGATGATGCCGCATTGTTATGATCGTCTGCATTAGCTGTAGCAGTCGATCCAGATGCAGCAGTGGCCGATGGGTCCGTTGTCGTCGTGGGTCTAGGCGGAGGAGTCGCTGGGTTATTTGCTGAAGGCGCAGGAGTGGAGCGCAATATATCCAATCGACATGTAGGACAAGTTTGATGTCTCTGGAACCAGCTGCGTAGACACGACGTATGAAAGATGTGGTTGCAAGGCAATTTTTTCGCCGCTAAAATGAGGAGCGAAATATTTTACAAAACAAAACTTTAATTTAATTATCTAATTAGATAAATTCTACTATTTTCTGGATAAGTTAATGCAATATCTAATGTACCAGTGTCGGTCATGTCCTCACGACATATGATGCAAACGTTTTCTGTCGTTTGGAAATCCTCGGCGGTAGCGTCTGGATACAGTGTGTTCATGTTATGTATAGCTTTGCGAGACAACACTAAGTCTTGGAACACTTTTTTGAAATTCCTTCATAAAATAATATCAAAATGGGAAAATATTATTTAAAACATTGACGAATATTTGTAAAAAATATTGCAGTTGGTTTCAAAATAGTAAAAAATCATAGTCACCTTAATGTGTGATACATCGGTCTGAATGCAAACAACGGAATAGTATAAGTGCGTACCATGATGGCAAGGAATATTACGTACATGACAGCTTTACAAAACCCTAGGAAAAAAAAACAATATAAATTGTTAACAAAGAGTTAATGTGAGGCTACACAAGTTGGTCAGTTTGATGTTAATTTTTTTGACTAAACTTGATTAACAAATTTGATTATTATTTAAACTATTTCAAACAAAATTTGTAATTTTCAATTTAACTATTTAAAAATATTATTTAACATTTTTTTTTTAAAAGTATTTATTATATTATTAATTCTTATAGATATTTATTTAGCACATAAAATAATTTTTCATTTGAAATATACTTTTATTTGAATGTTTCCCATAACTCATTATTTTAAATAAAAATGTATTTGATTACCTATAGCATTTCAACTATTATTTAAATATAAAAATTATTTAGAGTTGAAATAATACATTTATTTAAACAAATTGGTCCAAATAAAAATTAAATTGAATTAATTATTTGGATATTTGTTCAAATAATAAGATCTACATAGAAAAAAACTTCTGAAAAACCTGATACTTGATATGTTATATTTTGGTCAAAAACTTGTCTTAAGTCTGAATAAAATAATTTCGGATCAAAGCCTCGGGTTATAAAAATCAAGACAAAAAGATACTTGCCAATGAAAAATTCCAAGTACAATAAGAGCACAGCTTTGTTTTCCCAAAACGTATCACTGTGCACATCTAATGCGTGCAAAATATATTTGACTGCAGCATTCATGGCTAAAGTAATAAGTAATGCATACTCAAAGCCGAAAACTAACTGTACGGATGGTCCTTTAGTAATAGTTGTAGTGTACGCGTCATGTACAAAATATATATCAGCTATTGTCAAAAGTGATAGCAAGACTATAATATAAAAACAACATTAATAACAATAAAAAATATATTTTTTTTTTTACAAATATTTTTATGATTACTTACACCAAATGCGGATATGAAACAGGTATGATATAACGGGAGTGCGTTCCATCTGTGAAAAACCAGAACATAAGACAATAGTATAAAATAGATACTCCATTAATTATTGTACACTTACGTAATCTACTCGATCTTCGGCAAGCCAATGAAAACATTTCAAGAAGAGCAGCAAAGTAAACAACGCCACAAATTTTGGGCTCAAATCGTCTTTGAATATCGTAAACGCTAGACAGGTTTCTGTGATGGCGTACCAAGCTTTTTCGATTAACCGCTGCATATATACAATCAAACATATTTATAACATTTATTTATATGATGTTCTACGAATGTAGAATATCCAATATAACATAATACGACTTGAAAAAAAAACCTACGAATAGGTCACATTTAAATCATAAAATATTTTAATTATTATCATTGAGTCGTATTAAGTTGTCAAGATAGTAGATAATTATTTTTACTTCAGTTTCTGCTGCACGTAATGTACCAAAAAATAACTTGCCAGCTAATTTGCCTAACAAATAGACCATTACCAATGCTTGCACGTATATTACCTAAAAACCAAAAGTCACGTAATTAATGTCAATATAGCATACTAAATATATTTTAAGCTGAATGCGTACCGCCATGCTCGGATTGGATTTGCATATGTATACAACGGATGGATAAAATTGCTTTTTTTGACGAAAGGCGTGCACGATCACGCCAGATGTTACGCCGACGCTGACCGCTACAGCCGTAATGCTCTTTATTTTAGCAGCAGCAGCTGCTGTTGTTAAACTCATGATCTGAACACAGAAATTAGCAATGACATAAAACTGAATTAAAAATATGGAAATATCGTAATTTTGCTGCAACAGTTTAAAACTGAGCTGTACTTACTTCGAAATATGGTTTCGACCAAAAACTCGGACAACAAAATAATATATTATTTAAACATTAGCATTACACGACCTCATAAAACGCACAACAAAAATAGCAAAATATATATTAAAATTTAATTGTTAACATCAACATTTTCAAGCGCACGTCAGTAAATTTTATCAATTATCGTGTCAGTAAATAACACGATTACGAAGAACATTAGGTTTCAGGTAAAGTGAAATCGAGCTACCAGAAAAAATACAGGTATGCCGATAAATCGTGATGACCGCAAAATGGCTGCCGGGCGGCCGTGTAATTTTTACGGGACAATACCGGCGGCCATATTTTTGCCAATTTGACAACACCCGTGGCCGACATACCTATATGTTTTACTATTATAGACTTATCGATCTCGGTTTTGCTTGTTATTGTTGTTGTTGTTATCACTATCGTTTTAATGACAAGTGTTATCAAGAGTGACCGGAATTGATAACAAAATTTGTGAAACTACCGAGGACGGTGAGACGTGAGGGATCAGTAAAGTAACCGAAAGATGAAAAAATAAACTATTTAAATCAAATCTCAATCCAGTACTTACTTAATACTATTATTATTACAAATTAATTGAAAGTCTTCTAAGTGTTACGCTACATCGTGTTTTCGAATTTAACTAGACAGTCGACGCAAACCATCAAGATGTCCGATGACGAAATGGAAAAATTCGAAATCACCGATTTCGACTTGGACAACGAATTTAACATGAACAGACCTCAAAGACGATTGACTAAAAATCAAGCCATTTATGGTAGTATAAAAACGTTTTTTATAATATTAGGTTTGCTTAATTTGAATTCAAGACACTTCTCTGTATTTTTTTTTACATTTGTTTACTGTCGTCAATACAGTAGTTAAAAGTTGATCAATTTCACAACCTATTCTTTTATCTAACTACCTCTTACACATTTAATTATGTCTCATACATTCTATTAAATAAAACATTTATACTAAACCTCCTACAAGAATTGTATTAGTCCAAAGCATCACCCGAAAAAAGTTCAAAAGTGTTATTAGTTTCTAGACTTTTTGGACTTTACCTTAATATTTATTTAAAGTAATTGACAAATTTGGTAAACAGCTAATTTTAAATAATATTATTTGGTTTATAGGAATTTGGGCTGACGAAGAAGAGCGCGATGACAATGACGATGTGCCATCGGGTTTTGGCGGCCGAGGAAGAAAAGATAAAAAATATAAACAAAACTATACTGCACCAGTGTCTTTTGTGGCCGGAGGTGTTCAACAATCCGGTAAAGATAAAAAAAAAAAAGAAATAAAAACCGAGGAAAAGAAAGAAGAATTTGAAAACCTAAACGTTAATATATCTTCAAGGTTTGAATATTATAATTAAAATATATTTTACTGCATTACTTTTGAATATATCCGTGACGAGTTCAGTCTTATGCCGATGTTTATAACCAATCGCAGAAGTTCATTTGTTACTGTTTTGTAACAAGTCCAATTGGTGATATATTCGAAAATAATGTACCAAAAATGCATTAAAGCGCAGAATAAAAATAAATATTTTTTTATTATTAACAAATACACGTTTTTATTGTTGTACAGCGATGAAGAAGATAAACCATCATTTAGTTTTGACATTGATCAAGAATTAGCCGGTTTACGAAAAAAACGTGCTAATGTTAACCCGTCGCTTATGAACAAAGGTTTGGGTGACTGGGAAAAACACACTAAAGGAATCGGCGCAAAACTATTATTAGGGGTAAATGATTTTTTGTTTGAATTTAACAATTGATAATTATTTTCATTAATAATTTATTTTTGTTTACTTTCAAGATGGGTTATCAACCAGGACACGGTTTAGGTAAAAAACTTCAAGGAATCACGGCTCCCATTGAAGCAAATTTAAGAAAAGGAAGAGGAGCAATCGGTAAGTACAATATTGTATAATATGAGCTCTTGATTGCATACGCCTCAATTTCAGGTGCTTACGGGCCAGAAACAAAATCCAGGCCGATGAAACTAGATGGTGAACAAATGTCAGACAAGTCCAAAGACGATAAACCAAAGGCCACAGTGTCCAAATGGAGAAAAAAACTCAAGGCAGAAAAAACGCAGTATATTTACAAAACAGTTGAAGAAGTTATCGAAGAAAGTAAACATCCAGGACAGAGAAAAAGAGAATTCAAGTAAGTGGATATAAACTATTGGTTTGAAATGTCAATATGTGAACTTTTGATGTGATAACTTTAGTGAACTGAGCAAAGTGAAAGTAATTGACATGACCGGACCGGAACAAAGAGTGCTTTCAGGATACCACGCCATATCGGGTGTGAGAAAACCAACCGACCAATGGGAAATACGAAAAGATAAAAAATTTTCCAATTTCGATATGCCCGAATTGTTACACAATCTCAATCTTCTAGTCGAAATGGCAGAACAAGTATGGGAACACTATTTTGAATTAAATAATAAATGCATAGTTTAGAACATTATCTGATTGTTTTTTTTTAGAATATCATAACAAACAATCAAGAACTGTGCAACAGTGAAGATCGGCTTATTGTCATCGAACGAGAAACAAAAAAGTTGGAAGAAAATATACATGATAAAACCAAATGTATCCAGTCGCTCGAGAAAATGTTAATTATTATGCAGGAACTTGCCGAGGCTTTAGACAACAATGTATTAAATAGTCAAGAGGCTATTAAAAAATTAACTTACATGAAAGTGAGTTTTTAAAACATATTTACCTTTAACCTAATAAACTCTTTGGAATCTACTAGTTCAGCTTTGACCAGCTCCAACTTAGTAATTGATGTGTGTCTATTTAATCACCCACATTTTGTTAAAAATTATTTTAGGAAAACTATTATCCTGATTATCGTCTAAATGGGGGTTCAGTTTTAGCTTCGTCTATTGCTCAAATATTAATAAAAGAAAAACTGTCCGCTTGGGATCCGTTACAAGATCCGACAATGCCTTTTGACGAACTCAACAAATGGAAAGAACTGTTAATTTTAGATGAACCGTGTGCCGTCGGAACACAGTCAAGTGATGAGTTTCAAACTCTGATTTGGCAAGCGTGGGTTCCTCAAGTTCAAAAAGCTTGCGGGTAAGTTGATCGAATATTGACCTTAAAAGTATGCAAGTATATAATTTGACATGTACTCATATATTTTAAATATGCACAGGCAATGGAAGTGTAGGGACTTTAATTGTATGCTGAGACTTATCGAGCAGTCAGTTGAAGTAATACCCAGTTGGATAGTTATCCAAGTTTTAGAGAGCATGATATTACCCAAAATACAAACCGAAGTAGAACAGTGGGATCCCTTAACTGACCTCGTGCCAATTCATGTATGGATTCATCCATGGCTGCCGTATTTAAGTGAGCAGCCGATGTAACTGATTACCAGTGTGGTCCTTATTTTGCTTATAGAGGTAACATGTGCTGCCAGCCATGTAGAACAAGCCTGGGAATTTTATTTAAATAAAAAATTTAAATAGTAAATAAAACTGTTTTTATTTGAACAAATTAAAAAAAATATTCAATTTTAACTATCAATAATTTGAAAAAAAAAAAAAATGAAAATCATACTTTAATAAAAGTATTATTAAAATAGAAGTTGAAATAATAAAACTGAATAATTTAAGGAATGAATAGGTTATTTTGCTATGGAAAGAATACATTTTTTTGTCCAAAATAAATAACAGAAGAAACAAATTGATTTAACTTAATCTAAAATGAATACTAAAAGCAGTCAAGTATACTTAAATTTTGGTATTAATTCCAGATGCCTACAGAAAATAAGTTGAGTAACATCAATGTAGCTAATAATTTATTTTTCGTTTTTAAATAAGTGACTTGTGGAACACGTATTAACATCAAAATTAAGATCTGAAATTTTTGTTGGCCTATTTTTTTTTATCTATGTTGAACAAACTTTACCCCATTAAAATTTCCACTTAACCCAAAATAAGGACCACCTAATCGCATATTTATAAACCAAACTTTTTTTTTAAATTATAATTTTTTTTTTTTAATATTTTTTGTTTGTTGTTAAAGGCAAACACTTTGAAACCGTTGTTTATCCTACTTTGAGACAAAAATTAAGTGTAGCGTTAAACGCTTGGCATCCATCGGATAATTCAGCTAAACTTATGCTCCAACCTTGGGTAAACGTATTCCAACAAGGTCATATGGAAGCGTTCTTAATCAACAACATAGTTCCAAAATTACAAGCAGCCCTCCAAGCATTCGTAATCAATCCACATCACCAACAATTAGGTACAAAAAAAAAAGATACCAAATATGCCTTATTCAAATTAAATTTAATCAAACCTAACAAAGTAGTGCAATAATAATTATGTCTCGTTGAACAGACAATTGGAATTGGGTGAACACGTGGGTAGATTTACTGCCTTTACCCACTTTGGTGTCACTGCTCGAACAGCATTTCTTCCCTAAATGGCTCAAGACACTTACTATGTGGATAAATATGAACCCGAACCACGAACAGATTAGTAACTGGTATACCGGCTGGAAATCGTTAATGCCCGCTTCTATTGTTGAACACCCAACAATCAAGGGACAGTTCCATGCGGCTTTAGATATAATGAGCCGAGCGGTCGGAGGACCTTCGATGCCGGCACCGCCACCACCCCCTACGATTCACGTAAGTTCTTGAAACTACCCCATATGAATTCTGTGTCACCTAACTAATGAGGTACAATTATCAACTTTTAGGGTGGTCTAGCCGAAGCTGTACGAACTGCGTCACAAATGCCACACGGTTTCAAGGAACTCGTGCAAAAACGGTGCGAGGAACAGGGTATTTTATGGATGCCTATGCCGGGTCGCTACAGAGAAGCAAAACAAGTCTACAGATGTGGCGGCAGACTACAAGCTTACATTGATCGCGGAGTTCTGTTCGTCAGTCAGGACGGCACAAAATTCTTACCAATGTCTGTACAATCTATGCTTGAAATGTGCGATTGAAGTTTTGTCATTTCAAATTAATTAAATTTAGATAATTGTAGTATTGTATTGTATTTTTTTTTTTTTGCAAAATGTTTATATGAATAAAACAGTTTTTTAATATAAATTAAATGTAACTATTTAGTTTTTATGTTCTAGCCGTAAAAAAAAGTGTATATTTATGAACCAATGCTTAGTGATTTTGCAATTTAAAAAATTACAATTATCTACAAATTGTCTTCATGGTGTATGTATTTTTTTTCCGAAACAAAATTAATTCTTCACATACTGGAAAAGAGAAGCTGCCGCAGCTAGCTTGTGAACGATATAAAATTTCTTGAACAGTTAAAAGTTCTTTTTTTTCTATAGAACAGACCTAAATAATTTGTATATTTGATGTGAAAAAATAAAAATAATTTGATTTTTGTTATTTTAATAAAAAATAATAAACAGTTTTATTTGCATTATTATTTCCATTTTTAGTTAATAAATTCCCTGGTTTGTTCCAAATTGTGTACTTCATAATTAATACTGAATATTTCATGTAATGTACAATATTATACAAAATTATAAAATTAAAAAAATGTATTATTAATTAGGGTCTGTTTAAGACAGATATATTATAAAATATAAATTATATTTTTGTCCCTTTGTTTTTTATTAGGTAGGCAACCTATATTTTTTATCTATTAACCTTATCAGTTATCAGACATGTTCTTTAATTTATTCTTTGAAGGTATTTGGATTTTAGAACTTGCGTCATGCTTACAAACCAAAATGTTCAAATTCAAAACCAGTTAATCAAAAACTTTTTAATATTTGTTTGCTCTTCAAGTTTTAAACAACAACTGTTTGCTTGCTCGTGAGCTATGTCTTATCACTATTGATAATCTATTAGTTTTTTACACACAGTTTCTAAAAGGATCTATGTGTATACGTAAAACTTGAAGTGAGCTAGTGAATCAACGATGGACATAGACTCGTCTGATACAGAAGAAATAGTAGAAGAAAGCTACATTCAAGTCACGATGGACAACCCCCAAGAGCTCAACATGTTAAACATCAACAGTAACGTACGTGTCGTCGGAATAGATACAGAGTCTCCAGTTCTACAAGTTCAAAACAAAGTAAATTTATGCTATAAAATTAATACTTAAAATATTAATAATAATAGAAGTTTTTGGCCACAATGCGGCATAGTAGTTTCATCAGGTGATACGCTGTGCTAAAAGTCAAGCTTCATCTGTTCCTGCTTTATCTTGCAAGGCATTTAGCAGCAGCAGCCTATGCAAACCAAAATAACCCTTTAGCATTACTTGCTCAGGCTTAAGTAAAAACAACTTTTTTAATAACTGCAAACATATTTACTTATAATTTTGTTTATATTCAAAGAGTGTTACAAAATTACATAGTATTACAGTTAAAAATGATAAAAAACTAGCGCTTTACTGATTACCAATAGAACTTAATGTATAAATTTTCAATTTTTTTCTCACTTTAGATTTATCATTTCAAGGAATGGAAATGCGTACATGGCACGGCTTTGTTTTTTGAACAACTCAAAGAGAAACAAATTATCGACCCGTTGTACGACAACAGATGTGGTGTTCAGTTAAAATACATCGGTTCCACTTGCAAGTGCTTGGAAATGACGAAAATAGAAATTCCTACCGAACCGTCTACGAGTAGCTAAGACAAGAGTAAAAACGTATTTCTACAACATATCTGTAAGTCTTAACTACACTGTATCACTTCTATTATTAACTAATTGAACAAACATTGTCATTCCCAATATTTTCAAATAGAAACTGTTTTAATAATGTATATATATTATTAATGGTTATTGATTTTTTATTCATTAAATATACGTTACAAAATATTATACAAAGTTTAACTGTTTATAATAACCTGTTAAAAAATAATAAAACTTTACCAGGATATTATCATAAATATAAATTTTGGCCAAGAATATATAACTACATTGAGAAATCGGTCTAGTGGTTAAATAGTTATCGTTTATTCAAACTTTATATTTATAAATATTAAAAATAATATAAATAAATTATTCAACTTAAACTTATTATTTTTGACCGAATTATTCTAACTATCTAAAGGTACAAAAATTAAAACGACAAAAATTAACGACAATTAAACAGCGGTTTGAAGAATAATGAGATAAATTTTTTTTGCCATACAATATTATTGTAACACAAATGTACCTGAAATTTCTTTATCATTTAATATCAAATCAGCATATTTTTCTAGTTGTAGAGCTTTAAGCTTGCACCACACCAAAGGATCGTTTAGCCCTATAATGCGCGATGCAGCTAACGCAGCTCCTAGTTCTTCTCGCACCGTCACACAGCCCAACCCTAAACATGTGTGTATAATAGTAAAATGACACTACAAGTAGGTATACAGTATGTATTTAAATTGACAACAAATTACCAGAAGGTACGTTCAGCGAAGACCAAATATCTTGATTAACGTTGGATGAATTTAAAGGTGGACAGTTTATAACGGGCAAACTGGTGTATCCCGCAATAACTGGGCCTAGCCCGTTACTGCGTCCGGCTACGGCTATTATGACGACTGGAACGTTTAAACCTAAATAATAACAACAACAAACTTGTAATCGTGCAATTATTTTATACTAACTTTAAACTTTTTATCTACCTTCATATTGATCTATAATGCTCAAAACGAATTGTGTACTTTTATGAGCCGATCCTATTCTTATTTCGGTATTAATACCAAAACTGGTCGTATACTGAGCTATTTTCTTACCATAACTTTCATCACTACTCGATCCCATAACAATAACAACCTAAAACAAATTAATGTTCTGTTTATTTACGTTTTACGCCTATAAGTTATGGTTTAATTTATATGAGTTTTAATTGTCAACAGATAGTATTTAGTTACATGTTTTTCATACCAAGCCTTTGCAAGACTGAGCGAGACTTTGAACTTGATCGGCTACCCATTTAAAATTTGTTTTTATTGTTTCCATGTCGGCAGCAGTTACTGTACTTAAATTGCGGTAAACTTGTTTATCGACCATAAGTCTTTTGTCGCCGCTTGGCCACAATCTCCATGAATCGTTGTCAATAACATCAGCTACTAATATTTTTCCTAAATTGTTTTACAACTAATAATTAATAAAATAATTGTATAGGTAAATTGTTAAACATGTAAATACTCAAATGAGTTGAATCTAAATACCAACCTTCAGAGTTTATTCCAAACTCGATTTTCATATCGACTAGGGCAACGTTCTTGGCAGCCCACAGTTTTTCCAATACTTCAAATACGCAGATGGTAGTTTTTCTCATTATTTCATACTCGGCTTTTCCTATTAGCACATTGGCAATGTTCAACTTGGCTGACAACAATTGTTGCTCGGACCATTGGGGATCGTCGTTTTTATCATCCTGTCATTATTAGCATAATATATTATGTTGAATCGCGAGTTAAATATTAATTTATTTAAATCATTATGTACTTTGAAGAATGTTTCTAACAACGGAGGAGAGAAACGATAACCTTCTTCAACGCCCGGGTTACGTTTCAAAAAAGATCCAGTAGCGATACGTCGCGTTACCCATTCAATGGGAACCATATCGCAATTTTTGCTAATAAAAGTGTTATCGTGGCCGATATTCTTGGAAACAAAAGCCGTAGGTATACCTAAACAATGTAAAAATAATTTTTTTTCTTCAGAAATTTAGCATGGAAACTGCAATTTTTTACGAATTAATAAGACTGGAATTATTAAATGGGAATTACTTCACAAATACGTTTTACTCCGTATCAATAGAACGTAACCAATTAATTATATAATGGTGATATTAGTTTTTTTGGAGATTTTTTTTTAATAATAATATAACAAATACTGCCTTTTTGAAAAAATTAAGTACTATCATATCTAATTTTCAAACCAAGTCTAAATTTGTGAAAGATAAAATGGTCTAGCATTATAAGGGAAAGGTTTGATGATATTTAATTTTAATTGATAAAAAACACAAACAGTGACCTAGGTATATCAACATTTGGCTTTTTAATTCATTGGCTACTTTTAAGAAGAAATCCGTCGAGTGATTAAACAGGTCCATTTGCGGTTTCGTTGCATCGAGGCTAAACCAAAACCAAAAATCATCAACAGTATTCAATACCTATATCGTTTAAAATTTCAAAAATAGCCGTCGTTGTTTCCGTCGATATAGCTGCTTTGCCTTGCATATCGTCACCCTTAACTCCGTTCCACGCAGTTATTCTGTCTTTGCTCACCATCAACACGTTATCGGTGTTGAGTATTTCGTAAACTATTTTCGTTTTTCCTTCAATGATCGCATCGCCCAAATTTAGTCCTGTGTAAGGCAGAGGACAGTTATTATAATTATTATTAATCACGTGGAAAACAAACAGTTATAAAATCTGTTTCGAGTAACGTTAATTTAAATTACCGTATGACTGAGCCATTATAGTGTGTGTTTTCCTTTTGTTTTTGAAATAAATTTTATTTAAAACTTGTTGAAGAAATATTATATCAACTGAATTGTAGTTTTATATGAACAACAACGTGACAAATATCACAAATGATCAGACTTTCAAAAATATTTACGCTGTGAACACACTGTTGGGCATTCAATGTAGAACCAAACTGCTGTAATATATTAGCTAACTCAAAAGTTGAACACCGGCACAATATCGAATGGCACCGCTAAATTTTCTCCCGCCAATTATTCGCGTTAAAGATAAATCTAAGATAAAGAATTAACCTCAAATCGTTTCATTGCAATCGAAATCAATTATGGAACAGATAATATTTGGCAATTGCCGGCAATTTACTGAAAGAGACAAAAAAAAAAACGTGCTCACTGTTCAGCATTTCAGTCTGCAGAAAATATTTATCAGACTTTTTTGGACTTTAGTACCTACCTAACTTCTTCTGGTAATGTAGATTGTAGCCATTTAAAAATCCAGATAAACGGTTAATAATGTGAATCATCGTTTAATTTAATAATTATCACAAACGTACATATATATATTTATATATATATATATTATATATATATAATATACCATATATTTATATATATATATATATTTTTAGATATATTATTGTTGACGTGTCTTAATCAATTTATAACCGTTGCCGATAGAGAAAGTGGTAATTATAAACCGTAATTAATAGATATTTTCGTCTGTTTGCATACCTATTCATAAAAAAAAGTTTACATCACATTATTATGTGAAGATAAGGCTTTTTGCTGGACGTCATATTCACTGTATCGATAAACTCAATATTGGTTCATGGTCATGTGAAAATGGTCTCGTTTAATATTACAATGTATTGTTGTATGTATAATCTGCAAAGGTCATTAATACAAAACGTGTATAACACCTTAACACAATACAATATGTGCTATAATATTATACTGTAAACCATCTGCCGGTGCAGATCACCGGTAGTTACCTATGTATTCGTTAAAAAAATAAAAACTGTCCAATAATTCCCATATTTCACATCTTCATTTCTGTCTTCTTTTTGGTTATTCTGTTATACGTTGAATATACTTAAAGGTATTTTTTGTCAATAATTTATTTATTCGTGTTTTAAAAAATAATTTTGCACATTACATTATTAAAAATATTTCATTGATTAATTACACATGTTTCGTTTTACTCCTATAACGATAAATAACTGATTATTTTTTTGTTTCCAGTCTAGTATGTCTGTTGAAGAATACGACAGGCAGTTACGGCATGAGTGCGGAGTATTCGGATGTGTGGCTTCTGGGCCGTGGCCAACCAACACAGATGTCTCTCAGGTTATTTGTCTCGGACTACTAGCATTACAACATCGGTACTTTTTATTTTATTTGGTATTAATCACATATCAAACCTAAGTTTTGTAATTTCAATCAATGAGTTTGGATAGCAAACAATTTTTTTTCTTTAATTTTTGGAAAAGTGTGACATTTTGTCGAATCTACTGTACTATTTTTATTTTTAAGGAATGAATTTCTTAAAGTCTTGTTCTTTTATCTGTAATACTTATTCTAGGGGACAAGAAAGTGCTGGTATTGCTATGAGTGAAGGAGACAACCATACTCAGTTTAAAGTGAAAAAAGGCATGGGCTTGGTTACCAATCTTTTTTCTGATGACGCTGTTAAAAATTTAAAAGGTTTCTATTTTTTTTTTTTTATTGTGATTTAAAAGTACTTCTTTTAAATCACAATAAAAAAAAATCTACTTGATCAAAACTAACTTTGATGTATTATAAATTGCACAGGTAACCTCGGTATTGGACATACCCGATATTCTACAAGCGCTGGTTCCGAAGAAGTAAATTGTCAGCCATTTGTTGTGCATTCTGCTCATGGTGCCTTAGCCGTGGCTCACAATGGGGAACTATTTAACGCTGGGAGGTTGAGACGTATGGTGAGTTTATTTTATTTTATTATCTTGGAAAACAAATTGTGTTATGTACTACAAAAATCATTCAATATAATTCAGGTGTTGGCCAGAGGTGTGGGTTTATCCACTCATTCTGACAGTGAATTGATTACACAAGCGCTTTGTTTGAATCCACCCGACATAGAAATCGATGGGCCAGACTGGCCGGCTCGTATCAGACATTTTATGGAACTTACCAAATTGTCGTATTCCCTCGTCATAATGGAGAAAGATAGAATTTTCGGTGTAAGAGACCCGTACGGCAATAGGCCGCTTTGTATTGGTAGAATGATGTCATTGACTGACACCGATAAAGGTAATTATTTTTTCCGCCCTCAGATGTATTTTAAAAAAAAATTAAAAATATTCTTTGATAATTAACAGTACTTATGAAATCTGTATTACTTATAGAGGAAGGCTGGGTCGTGTCGTCGGAGTCTTGTGGCTTTTTATCAATCGGTGCTCGGTACATAAGAGACGTGTATCCTGGAGAAATTGTCGAACTAACTAGGGACGGATTTCAAACGATATCCATAATGGGCAGACCTCACAACAGACCTCAAGCGTTTTGTATTTTCGAGTACGTGTATTTTGCAAGACCCGACAGTATATATGAAGGTATGTATTATGTGTTAAGAGAATATTCTTCTTCGTTATTACAATAAAGCAATCGTACTATTGGCATGACACTCGGGTATTGTGAAGACAATAAAGGATATGACATAATAAAATGTTTATTTATGTCATTTCACAAGTTACCTTTATATTTTATAGCAGGGAATCTAAACGGGTTAGAAATCTGGTCCAAAAACCCAGTATCTTGATAAAATAACCATTTTTAGTCCAGAAACCCAAAAAATTTCGACCAGTTTTGATTCCCTGTTTTAAAGTGATAAAATTTGAAAACAACATAATTATTTTAGTATTACTGAATTTTAAGTCTTTTATCATGTCTAACTGAAATATTTTACCCTTTAGGACAAATGGTTTATTCCGTACGTTTACGATGCGGAATAATGTTAGCTAGAGAGAGTTTAGTCGAAGCCGATATTGTGAGCTCCGTCCCAGAATCTGGAACTGCTGCTGCTCACGGTTTTTCAACTGAAGTAAAATTTGTTTTCCAATATATATACCAATTTTGTGTAGTTATATTCTATTATATCCAAACAAATTTTTCAGACTAATATTCCGTTTGTGGAAGTATTATACAAAAATCGATACATAGGACGAACGTTCATACAACCGAGTGCTCGTCTAAGGAAGTTGGGAGTCGCGAAAAAATTTGGGGCTATTGCTGAAAATGTGGCTGGCAAAAGAATGATTCTTATCGACGATTCTATCGTCAGGGGAAATACTATGGGGCCAATCATAAAACTGTTAAGAGATGCCGGAGCCACAGAAGTACATATCCGCGTTGCATCACCTCCATTAAAATTTACCTGCAACATGGGCATTAATATACCGACCAGAGATGAACTAATCGCAAATCGAATGACCAATGATCAGTTGGCAAAACATATAGGTGAGTACATAACAAAATACATTTATTACTATCAATAAATATGTTCTTTGTTTAGAAATTATCTTATTAATAGCTAATATATATTTTACAGGTGCTGATAGTCTGGCGTATTTATCGGTTGAAGGTCTTAGGGCGGCGGTAATAGATAAGATGCCGAATAAAAATTCAAAAGAAATCGGCCATTGCACGGCTTGTCTCACTGGAGAATATCCAGAGGAGCTCTCGTTTTAAACAAAAAACATCTGTATTTGTAAGCTCAAAAGTATTATTTTGAATCTCTGATTTCCACATTCAATTTGTACTTGTTCAGTTTTATTTTACTGCTTACGCTATTGTTGACAAAATTAGGATTAAGTTTGTTAAGGATTGATTAAGTTCAAGCGTTGAAAAAAAATTGATGTGGTTTCCAATATTCATTGTTTGCCAAAATATGATATAACTTATTAATTTTTTATTTTATATAGCTTTATAATGTTATATTGTCTTTACATAGAAGATGTTAAATTGTTGAGATCTATTATAATAATTATAATAATAAATTAGTAATATATATTATACAATTTTTGTAAATGAACAAAATTAATGCCCTTTATTTTGTCTAAAACTCATGCTATTCTATCGGGTGAAAAAAAGAGTTAATAGCATAATGTTATAACTTTGTATAAAGTAATTTATAAATAATACGCTAAAAAACTATAATAAAGTTGTATACTTAAAATAGCTAATAATAGATGTATTTTTTTAAAAGCATTTAACTTTTAACATTTTTTTAAACTATTTCCATCTATTCCTCCACCTGATTGATTAACTCTACAATTTATCAAAAACAACTGCTGATATAGCTCTATTAATGCTGAGAGGAGTAATAACTGTTGAAATAACGAGAACGCTGTGATGTCTCAAATAAAAATGCATATTATACAACCTACATTATTATATTACATCTACAAGCAATATTATATACTTGATAAAGTTATATTCATAATAGCTCCATTGCATTAAAAACTGCAATAAAACGAAAATATAACTAATGTAGTATAGCTTTAACGATTAGATTATAGCGATCCTTATAAACAAAATTTGTCGGTCCGCTTTTTTTCACACAATCATTTTTATTTATCTAACATCATCTTTCTACGATTGATATACATTGTCTAATGGTACCGTCTAAAATGTCCTCAACCCAGTTTTAACGACCACTCTAATAATATATGTATGCATTTTTGTTTCTTTAAATGTATTTTTGAGTGTGTCGCACATTTAATATTTTAATTATTATCGTATTTGGCAAAGTACTTATTTTTACATTTTCAGCTATAACTCTAGAACGCATAGTTTATATTTTGATAAAAAAAAAAAAATAAAGGTTCCAAAGCACTTAGTACTTTACATTTGTTGTTGTAGACTAACTAGTGACAAAAAGTTGTTACCAAGATCAGTAATTGAGAACATAATGTTAAATTATGCTGTGTGTGACTAGTGGAATACAGACCAGGGAAAGAGGTATCTCCTCCAAAATATCCACAAAAAAAAAAACAATTTAATCGTTTTAAATTTAGTTCCTGATTTTGTAGGTTGGTTTAAATTTTAAGTGGCTCCTTTTTGCATCACTGTTTTAATGCACAGAAAAAAAAAGCTGGACACAACTAGTAAAAACAAATCACAATAGGTGCCTGTTCTTAGCTTTGCATTGAAGCTAAAACCAAGGTAGGTTAATATAGACAAAGATAATGGAACCTAACCGAGTAAACTATTCTATTGTTGTTTTTGCTGGAACATACAAAGCGCATAACGTACACATTGGTTATTCAAATATTCAAACGCGATATTTTCCGCCGTTTTAACAAGTTGATACGTTAAGCGTTAACAATATAATATAATACATTAAGTAGACTTATTGTGCAACTAGAAATTAGAATACCTACTATATAACCACACCCATATCGCGTCAACGCGTTTGTGTTTAATAATTTTTCTTTATTTTTTTTTCCATTTGCATTTCCAGAGTGAACTACGATAATGTTTTAATACAATATAAATAGATACTCTCTCTTTTAATTTTATAATTACTTTCCCTTTCAAGAGCCTACAGCTGATGTAATATCGCCAACAATAATTATTGCTCCGTGATTGCTGGTTTGTACTTTTCTATCTAATCAATTTCTTGTAGTGTATATTATTTAGTAGAACTATAATACTATTGTTGTCGATTATTTACCATGTTCATAGTCATAAAGGGTGAACCCGTTTACCATTTTTACGGTTACAGTAATAATATAGAATACATTTTCGCTAAGACTATTATACTTTTCCAAAAAGCAAAGCTTGTAGGTACTCGGAGAATATTTTTTTTTATTAATTATCAATTTTAAATGTTATTTAAATGATTTATATATATATATATATACATACATAGTTTTAGAAGGACTATGTTATCTTGGTGTTGTTAACTGTTGATGTAGGTACTCTCAAACAAACGTACCTATTTTTATTTTATCTTTTATTCAAATTGTTTTTAATAAAATACAATTTATAATTATTTTAATAAATAACAACTAGATACTGTTGAACAATATAATATACTAGAAATACCAAATAGGTTTCATATACTTACATGGTGGATTTTACCGAAAATCGGTAAAGATTTAAAAATGAACGTACAAAATAATAATTCATACCTATAGGCTATCATAATGAAGGTCATATTTTAAAAAGTTTGTTTGTATAAAATAAAACTTAACCTGTCATAAGTCGGGGCAAACAATACATTCACGAGGGCAAAAAGGTGTTGTAAAATGTATAATATTAGAATAGTAATAAAAATATTAATAAAGTGTTTTATTTTAATTTATAATACAATACTATTATTTAATGGTGTGAGGTAAAAAAACAAAAAAAAACCAAATCAAAAGGGTAAAGCCCTCTCTAACCAGCGCTGACGAAGCCGGTTTTGTTAAAATAAAGACAATGAAAGAAATGCAATCCTAAGACGGATCGTTATTTGTTAGTAAGCCAAGTCAATATAATGAATTGTCATTATATTGATACCTGTTAACATTTTTTAATCAAAAACTTATGATTATGTAAACATTTTTACTAAAATCTAATCGAAATTCCTAAAACTGTTTTGGGAATTTCGATTAGACACCATTTGAACTTTGTGCGCATTTTTTAACGTGACTCGAATGTTTTACTATTTTGTAAAATATAATTATAGGTATGCTAAAAATTGGAGAAAAGGAAAAATGTAAAAAAAAAAGCTTTGTCAACCAGACAGCTAAATTTTGGACAATCTTAAGTCCCCTAAAATCCTTCAACGGGCACAACTATCAACCGATTAGAAAACTATAAAGTAGGTATACATATTATTATTACATCTCATTCGGATGTCTTTAGCTGTGATACAAAACTGTTTTCGGTTGTATTTCTTTCTTTTGTTTTTCCCCTAAAGTTAAATGATCACAGATGGAAAAATATATCTTCGTCTTACCGCTTATCATTTAAATAATGTATACTTCACCGTATTATCTTAAAGTAATTTATACATATTTTTCAATTTATTACTAATAATACAGGGAGCCTATAAAATAATAATAATAATAATAATGTAATACATGGACATGTTGCACATGATGGGAACGTATTACAGCTGTTCGTCGGCTACAAATCCGGTATTGGACGTACCATTTGCTGCTTTTGGCGGTTGTTGACTTCTGAAACAAAAGCTATATGTATTGTATCTATCATTGTACATAATATTATACCGTGTCTTGAGCCTAAAAGAACCATCGAGTTAAACTACTTGTCATGTACATCATCGTTATTATTGCTGTTTTTTTGTACACTTCAAAAAAAAAAAGACCTACTTATATCTCTCCATTTGGTATTATTTAATAAGTCTGTTTTTTATCAACCACAAACCCTTCGTTACCAACTTGAATACAAATTCGACTTGAATCCGGGAGAAAGGGTGGGGATTTTTTAAAATCATTTTGTGGTTTTTAAACAAAATGTTAAAAATGGCTTTTGTTAAAAATCCACCTTGTTCGATTTAGCAAATGGCGTATTGTGCAACGTACTTTTTGAGGCCAAAATTTTCTCCGTCTTCGATGGTTACCGGCAATTGACTTCCTTGGGTCTCGGGTAACAACAAACACAAAACGGCGCCAATCAAAGGGAACGTACCGAAAACCAACGGCGGTAAGTATACGTTGAATATACCCTGTAAAACGATAACGTCCAAATTGTATTGGCTTTACTTACAAGCACGAAGTTAACAATAATAGAGTACTTATGAACTCAAACAGAAATATTTGCTTTACGCCAACACTGACAACAGGTGCAGTACTGCGCCAATAACGGTTACCACCATACTTGACTCGGACCATAGTACTGGCTACAATAATTCTTCTTAATTTACTGACTCTGTTCTTGTACACGAATAATGACAATAAACGTTGTCCCGTTACCGAGCTGGTGCAATAGCTAGATAATGGCAATTCGGTACAGAATTCCGTTATCATCTCAGACATACCATATGCCGGTATAAAGACGCAGTACTGTCTATAAATACTGAAGCAGTAGTGCACCCGTTCAGGATTTCCGATTAGGAATCCGGAATAGTCAAAGTAAGGGACGGGCACTTTCCTCGCATATTTCTTACCTATCCTTATTCGGGAAAATAATTGAAATTTTCTCCACTCCACGGAAAAACAACGAATCATAGGTATATTTTTGGGCCATCCTCGCCACCGGCTGGTGTTCCTTTCCTCTCCTCCATATACATATTTATACAATCTCCTTGCCTAGCCTCTGTCACTAATCTTTTATCAGCTGTTCCTCATCACTGTCGGTAAAATTTCAAACCGGTGACGCCTAATTCCCCAGCCCTATAAAACACATCCAATGGATGTTATCCGTGTTGAAAAAAAAATCCCTAGGGAAAGTGCTCGTCCCTAGTAAAAACGTTTAATTAATTATAAGTCTTGCCAGCGAAGAGACGAAGGGTGCGATGACGGAGCCTATTCGGGCACACATGGACGCCGTCCCGACACCGACGTTGCGCACCACTGTCGGGAACAACTCGCCGCTGAAAAGGTATATTGTCGGGAAAGCTATTGACGATCCGACTATGCCCAACGACGCCAGTATAAACTTGATGTGTTCTACGTCGGAGTCTAGACGATCATTAGGAGGCAGAAATAAAGAGCGTTAGGTAAATTTAAGGCTATGCATGTTTAGGCGTTCCGGTTTGAGCACTCACTCTGCGGCAAGAAAGTGATGAGTATGCACGCCATGGCCGTGATCAGGTTGGCCGACAGCAGGGTGTTTCTGCGGCCGAAATGCTCCATCAGGTAAATGCACAAAAACGCGCCGGGCAGCTCGATCAGGCCCGACGACGCCACGTTGACGAATATGTTGCCGCCTATTTCGCCCATGTACTGCGCCAGACCGTAGAAACACAAGCCGCACACCGTCCAGTTGAAGAACACGGCCAGCGTTTTTTTCCTCAGGTTGGGAGTCCTGAACAAGTCGAACACGTTGGCTTTGTTGTCGTTGGATTTCTCGGCCGGCACGTTCATCGACTTCTCGAAATCGCTGTCCAATTTCCGCTTGTTGTGTTCAGCGCCGGCGGTCAGTATTTTGCACGCTTCCTTTTTCCTGCCCATCGCCAATAGCCACCGTGGACTTTCCGGAACCACCCTACAACATTAGCAAACACAAGTTACCACGTGACTCTACCGGAAGTGTTTCTTCCTGCATTCCACCAAGTTTCAGTGACGCAACCAGATATTACGTTCAAGAAGACTGTTTTAAGACCGTCAAAATACTAGTAATATAGTTGAATTCCGGGAGAACCGATAATTCCATAACGTCTCCACTGGTTGTGCCACTGATTTAGTTTTGTTCACTGACCACCAATACGAGAAGAAAAACAGAGCCGGCAACGTTATGGCTAACTGGAACTGCCTCCAGTCCCTGATGAAGTACGCTATGAGGCCCAGGCTCGTGTGTCCTAAATTGAACGGAATGTGATGTAAGGTGCTCACTATCGTCCGCCATTTGCCACCCAAAACTTCCATAGCTGAAATATAAAGTAAATATCGTTTTAGACGTACCATTTCGTTTACTTCCTCGTGGAACACGGTATAATATATGCTTTCGGGAATAATCCTTTCCCGATTTTGAGTAGGATCTTTCCTCTATCTAGTCATAAACGAATCATTGGCTGGTGTAGACCCCTACATCAAATATTTTACTATATGGATTGATATTGAAAACCGAACTAAAGACGTATAGTGTAAACTGCAAATGCCTGTGAACTTTTCTTGACTAAAGGCACAAACCAATGTTGTCTTGCATGAGAATTACATAGTACCTCACCCACCAATTGTCATTTATAATACTGGATACACACGTTGTAACAAGTACTTTTAATACTTTAACAACAACTTTTAATAACATTTTAATATTAAAACGTATTACACGAGTGTTAAGCTTGGTATAGATAGGTACTATTATAAAATTGCATATCAGTTGCAGCAAGTTTCAATTTTCATTAAAACATACACCTGTATAATACAAAATAGGAAGCGTTGTAACCCAGAAGGAAGCTTGTACGTATTATCATTTTTATTGTGGCTGGACTTTAACCTGCACTACAGATTATAATCATTAACAATAACTAAGGAACGCTATGGAATTCCTTGGACGTAAACGATGACAAAACTGAATTGATTTTTAAGGTTCATGGTTGTTTTGGACGGTCGTGACTCTCCTGTAAGAGGTTTGATTGACGAGACCGTACGTGACTGATAATGTCACTAGAAGACAAACGCAACACATAATGGATATTGATTGAATAGCACTAGCTAATATTATGGTGTAAAACAATCCACCGACACCGAGTGGTCATGATTGTTGTTTTTTACAAAACATAGTGTTTTGAACAATTCTAAATAAACAATATTTATTCGCATTCGATGGAAACCGACGACCACATAGGTAACCACGGCAAGATATTTATACATACCTAATATGAACAAAAACAATTTTCGACTAGAAAAGTCCCAAAGTCTAAAAACATGTTATCATGCGGTTTATAACATCCTTCCTTCCTTCCTTGCACACGATGTTCACGGTCAATTACACGAGCAAATTTAATAATATTATTGTTTTATTTTTTTCCAAGGTTGCTCCATACATTCAAATCGAGCGGTGTCGAAGCAAAACAGACCGTATAATACGACATAATATTAATACACGGGTGTATTTAAATACAATTATTATTATTATTATTATAAACACTGTACCGCAGTTTATAGCCCGTGTAAAAAAACTAAATAAAACGCCGTGTAATTGGTTCGCGTGTAGCATACACTGTACAACTGCACTATAAACGAAAAATATACACACAAACTAGCTGTACCTACCCACCTACGTCGGTGTAATAGAGCTGTTGTGTTGTAATGTGCCCAAGCTAACTAAACCCGTCATTATTGTGTCCTAATAACAGCTATAGCCTGTACTTATACCTACAGTGGTCGCAATGACACTTACTCAGTACGAAGCTGGTAATCATCAGTCCTCCGATGGCCATTGCGGTGGCGAATCTGAGCGGAAGGAACAACTCGTACCAAGGAGCTAACGACGTGCCAACGCCGGCGACCAGCAACAAGACAATGGAGAAAATCATCGGTACCTTTCTGCCGTACCTATAAACAGGACCAGCAAAATTCAACGAGCACATAATCACAAAACAAATACATTTAAATATACAATTAGCTACACGTTGTCACCGTGAGGAAATTCACACGTGTTTGGCACATTCCTTTTGAAAATCTGATGTGTTCACAATAGTCCGGAAAATTGTAAACTAATGCGTTCGCATTCATTGACAAACATAAATTATTCCAAATAATAATTATTCCAAAGGATTCTAAGGAAATCGGTAAGAATAGCGAGCACAAAACATTGAAAACTTCTGAAAGCACTCTGCAAAAGGCCAAAATGACAGAGCAAAAAGTAAACGCTTCGATGCGAACCTATAGATAGTGCGAATACTAAAAATCATTGTAACGGCATTACTGTGCTAGAAATTGTATTTTTAGTAATAGGGTGTACACGATTAGCGTTAGTTAATTTTCTATTTTCTCGTTCTTGAACAAGAAGAAACATTTGAATCTTGTAAAGTGTTTAGTTGATCTTATGTGGTTGGAAAACTTCATATGATTCACATGTTTTCCTTGAACAGGAGGAAATTGCTTTTGTTTTTGTTTTTAAGGAAACCCTCCCCCCAAAAAAGTGGGGGTGATACTCGTATTAAATTTCCAGGTTACTACTGAGTGAATGAATCAATAGACAACAAGTTATTTATTTAGACAGGCGATCAACCCTAATTTTATCCACTCTAATACTAAAAAATTACAATTTTAAGCACATGTTTGACATTTTCAATGTTTTATCGAATTTTTATTTTTCCACCATTAACAGGTTCGCATTGAAGTGTGTTCTTTTGAAAGTGGTTTTATCACTTTCAGTTATAATATTAATTTCCGAACATCTGCGAAACTCAATATGTTTCTTCCCCACTATATTATGGTAGGTATCTGGTATTCCTTTTTTGTTATTTTTAATTGTAGTAGCTTATTATTGATTTGAAATTAATAAAAAAGACATTGTCGAGTTGCTCGAATTCGGTAAAAACAATTTCAAGCTTTATACGTTTGACATTTGTTACTCGTTAACTACCCAAAATACCAATCGGAGGACCAAAGCAATAGTTTCTCAGGGCTTCTCTCTGTAGGCTACAGCTACGGTTAATGATAACCATGTGTATATAAACTGCTTTAACTTACTTGTCAGCGAACACACCGAATAAGACATTGCCGATTAACACGCCCAGCATGAATACCGATTGGGCGACGTTGGACAATTGGTATCTACCGCACACTAAATTCCACTGTAAAAAAAAAAAAAAACAAGATTCAAGTTCGGTAAAAAGATAAGATAGTGTTCTCCGGGTCAGGTTACCTCGGTGTTTATGGTCTCCTGGAACACGGACCTATCGTAGACGAATCGTTGGCACGGCACTATCTGATGCGTCAAAGGGTCGCGGGTACTACACCTGTCGCCGATGGTGTTGTTGGCGTGGACGAAGCCGTCCTCGCATTTGAATGGCGTTTTGGCCGCCAAAAATATAATGGCTAGCTGATGCCAAGCTATGGGGAACTTGAGCAAGGACAACGAGAAAGCGATCCAAAACTGCCACCAACCAAAATCGCCTAAGGCCCGTTGTACGGGGTCGACCTCTTTGTTTGCGGCCGCCTCCTGTGCTTCAACAGCTTTGGCTTGCTTTTCTTTGTCGTCTGTCACTGGAAAAAAATAAAGTTCTCTTCAAAATTCTTAATTCCCATTCAATCCGTTTGTACAGCGAAGAGACAAAGTAAAAATGATTAAAAAATATCATACCTAGGTAGCTTAACCCTACCTATTCTATTTGTAGTAGGTATCCTACAGTGAAATGTGATAAAATAAATTACAAAAATATTTATGCAGCGTAGGGTAACTTCCTAACTTGTTATAACAAGTACTAGTTTTCCAATTTGAAGTGCTCCCTTTTTTTTACTTACTCTGTATAATGCGGGGAGACTGGCTCTGTGTTTAGTTTATTGTATCTACACTATGTATTCTTGTGTATTCATTAAACGGTTTAGCTTCAATAGGTAACTCTTATCTGTAATTAACTCATTGAAATAATTTTTCGATAAAGCATATTTCATTATGTAACTTTAAACGACTTGAAATATTGTACATAATTGTTATAAATAAAAGTTCTTTCAACATTACTAAACATTTATAAGTACACAGTGAATAAACTTATGTAGTGCTTTCAAGAAAACATTTAAATGTGAATTGCAGACTATCACAGTAGATGGCAAATCAAAATTAACAATTCTAAAAGCCACTATATAATAACATAATATTGGGAGTTTTTATAATTGTGATATTTTATATTATATTTTATTTTTCCTAAGTAGGTACGTTATATTTTCGCACTGACCTAATTTTCAGACCATCAATCAGATAATTACACCAAACAAGTGAGGGAAAATTATTACCCTATTTCTTAGGGAAAGGGTACCTATATTTTTAAAAAAGATTTGTAGTGTGTAAACAATTTTTTTAACTTATAAAGTGCAATCTTGAAAACTGAAAAATATGTACATTTTAATTGTTTTGCTCTCGATTTTGGACTTGAAATTTGTTAATTTTTGTATAGTGTTCAAGGATAGATATTTTAGATGAAAAATGATTTAAGTGTTAGTGTGGTTCTATTAAGAGACCTGTGGTCCGGATTTTGTTAAAACTTGAAAGACTGTAAATTATTGCATTCGATTATCAAATTAATAATATATTTATTTGGGTCACACTACTCAAATGTCTTGTTTTAGTATTTAAGCTTCATTTCGGTTCGGTATGTCATCGTAAAATGTTTAAAAAAAAGGAATTTAAAAAAAATAAAATAACGATATTTTTGAAATAACTACATGGTTTACAGTTACACTTATATTTAAGCCTTTCATCTTCCATCTTCAGCGCTGTGTTGCGTGATGGTTATGTGTTGTTCGCTTTAGATTTGAAATTAATACTTAATTGTTTGGGTATGCTAAATTTAATCTTTTTAAAAATATATATTTGTTGTTTATAAATGTTCATCGCTATAATTTTACATTTTAAAATCAAATTTCACAATGTTGAATATGTGCAATATGGTAGTATATAGAATCCACTAATAGTATATGACATTAGAACAAATTCCAAAATTGAAAACGGACAGTCTAAAAGAATTCGTATAATCGTATGGGAGAATTATATATTATGTATAAATTTTTTTCAGTGTTAATACGAAGCAGGAGTGATTTTGTTATTAAGTGTTATCTCTAAAGTGTATTTTGTTATCTCCGAAATTTAATAGCGATGTTCCTTTTTACAATTTCAAAAATTGTATAATGTTCTGTAAATATTGAATAATATGTTAAAAAATTAAGAAACCTAAAATATTCTAAAATCTAAATACAATTTTGATTTCTCAAGAGTGTTTTTTCAATTTTTTAGTACCTAACTATTTATTGGACCATTCGGAAAGAACATGCACGATCATCTGGGCTTTACTTATCACTCTGGAAAAATGGAATACTATATACAGCTTCATTCTTTAGAACAAGTTCACATTTGCTTAGAAATTAGTTATGACTTATTACATTATAATTGTTATTGTTTGATAAACAAATATGTTTATTAGGATATGATCAAATCATTATATATTTTCATGGTAAACGGGACATCTTATCATTTGAACTGATTTCATTATTCGTTAGGTTACCAAACCTTTTCAAAAGGTTTATTTGCACCAATACAATTTCGAATATCTCTGGACTTTAATAACTATGATATTCCTAGAGAATTCTTTAATAAACTACAATGAACATTTATGTATCTTATACACCATTGACTCAATGCTTATACTAATTTTAGCGTACAGTTTTTATCCAATACACATTTATAGTTTTTTTTTTGAGCTAGATGTTAAACATATTATTTTATTTGATATATATTATTAAAATTAGCATGGTGGTTTCGAAGTGGTAAGAATTAATATGACTTTTTCAACGTATTATATTTTCGGGGTCGAGGCTGACCGATGCTCGTCTGGTTTGTTTTATAAGTGATAAAATCATACTCGGCAAAACAGTAGAGTGCAATTTTGTGGGATAGTGTTATAAAGCATTTATTTATTTTTATTGTATTATAATAATAATATACCTACGTACGCGTTATACATACAAGTCCAAAGACCTTGGCTTATTAAGGTCGTACTCCCAAAACTGACCTTAATGCCGTGTTTACAAAACTATTTTGGAAAAGAATGTTTGGTGAAAACGATTCTCGCCCAAGTATAAAATACATTTACTTTCGTCAATTCCACAACATTAGAGGAAGGTGTGAACTTTTTCAACTATTTGTCATAGAAAATACATTCGGCTCATGGTTTGCTTTACAAATGAAGAAATCGATTAAGTGATTAATCGATTATCGTAGTGGCAGAAACAAAAAAAAAAAAACAACACATTAACACAGTTGGGCACGATCTTATTGGATTTTAACTATCAATTTTACAAACATTTGGACTTCAGGTTCTCACAACTATGAGTGAACGTTATTGATGGATTCGACCAAAAGACGAAAGACAAACGATCTTGGCCAAGATTCCACAACTAAGCCACAAGAAAAAAGGCAAGTCATTAATATTGTGCATCAATATACTCTAGCCAGCGCCATGAAAGTGTCGATCTGGTAAGTCTAGGGTCAAGGGTTTTATACTTAGAAACGTACATCACCTATTCCACCAGCATAGACTCCACCGAGTGGCCCAAAGAAATGTCAGATTCATCCGACTGATTTTCGGGAAATCATAAATAGTTCAAGTTTCAACATAATTGTTAAGTCATAGTGTATACACAATCAGACAAAAAACAAAATACACTCTCTCAAATCCTCATTAGATCTAAATAATAGTACCAACTGATAACTAAGATGAAAAAAAATAAATGACAATTAGTAAATAATTGTTCGTACGATATTTTTTGTACTTTCTGAGACCTAATAAATAAGCACATAATTATTTTATATCATATATTTCTATTTAAAACTAGTAAGTGACATACAACTATTAGAAGAAGCTAAAATTTTGTATATTTTTGCTAAATTATTTTTTTTCTCATTTGTTTACACTTTAAGAATATAATTTTTGTAGAGCTATATAGGCACTACGTACGAGGACTAGACTTTGTTGTTTCTGAAGACCACAAAGAGCTTTTCAGCCGTGAGTATCGATGTATCAATCCATTATTGCATTGTTAGAAAAGTAAGAGTACGCTATCTACAGCATAAGACAATGGTACGTGCCAATACTTTGAATAGTCTTGTTGTAGCATTCACTTGCACTTTTTTTTACACCTTATAAAATACATATTATAATACCTGTCTAATGCCTAGTGGGTATGACCTGCCGTTTTGTTAATATCGTTAAGAAATTTTATAGAAGAATCAAATTTATTATTGTTCACTCATATTGTCTGCGTCATAGGTACTTCAAATCCGTTGATATATCAAGATACCGTTCATGTACTAAAAAAAATCATGTAATTTTACTTTGTATAATATATTTCAGGTGAAAAATATATTACTGTACACCGACCTATTATGAATTCACTGCAGAAAATAATAATTATTGTTTCAAAATAATAATATTGATTTTGTATGTACAGCGTGGTGTCACACCAAAATTGAAGTTTGGTGTTGTGCAATATCCACGGTACAAAAATAGTAAATTATTATTGCAATTAAATCATAACTTATTGCTATTTTAATAAAGGTCACTTTTTAAATGATTTTTTTAAAAATAAAATTCACATAGTAAATATTTGAAACACGTCAGCTAACACGTCATAATTCCACTACAGGAAAAACATTTTTTTCACAATATAAAAAAGCTAATACAGTGAGGTCGGGGCATAGTGGGAATGGAGAGCTGTGAACCTGTGAGGTCTATAGAAATTATTATAACTGGAAGTGATAAAATCACTTTTAAATAAACCCTCCGATGCTAATCTGTAGGTAGTATGTATAAACCACACATAGCAACCTAAAAACTAACCACGGTCAAAGTTTAATTTTCCCCTACTTTTTGGGTTTTCCTTGATAAAAAAATGTTTTTCACTACAGATTTTCGAGGAAATTGTTTATGCTACAGCCCCATTTTAGAACTACCTTTGGTCTAATTTTCATAAATAAATCCCTAGAACTTTACATGAAAAAGCGAAAGAAAGAAAAAATTCCACCCCTTCTAGGAGAAAGGGTTGTACGATTATTGTTCAGGTTGTCAACGTTTGTCGGTGGTAGTACTATGGTTTAAGAATATTCTATACAAATTTGGAACTAATTGGAACATTTCGAAAAAAGATTTTTAAGTAATTTTAAGTTGAAAAAAATGTACATTTTCTGGGGGGTTTCTCGATTTTAAAGGGAAAGGGATGAACTTTTTAAATTTTTAGTCTATTAAAGTACCTTACAGGTACGATTTCTGATCTTAAGAGCTGATACGCGAAGACATCGGTTCAGTGGCTTAAAAGATATCATGAATTATACTACAGTATAGACACAAAAAAATAAATAAATAAAAACACATTATTGTAAATACATACAATACCTTCTTAATTATCTCATCAAAGCTAAAAAAAATAGTTTTTGTTCAGAAATTTAATATTTCTAAAACATATTTACAAAATGTTGTCAAGACATTATCCTGTTATGTAAATGATATTTTTTTTTTTTGTATAATGTATAGTAGAATTATCTTATTTATATGAAAAACTAACGTGTATAAAATATCGAATTGCTTGAATATTTTCCAATGGGCTGTATGTGTTGTTTAGCAGGTTTCCGACAAGTATATTATTTTCGAAGACTTATAACAACGAATCGTCTGGCGCGCGTAAGATTATTTTGATTGAAATACAAAGAGCATATATAAAAAAAAAAAAAAGAAACCTTAATAATAATTATAATTATTATTTCGACCGTCGCAGAATATATTTTAATTGACAAATTTCAAAAGTTTTTCCAAGGTTTCCGTATAAAAGTATTTTTTTTTTCTTATAAAAAAAAAAATTCTTCCAACAATAGATGGTCGTTTATACTGTGGACACTGGACAAATATGGATATAGCTATGTATAGTTTCGGCGGAAGAAGAATAGCGACCATCATTCATCAAAGGGGCACAATACGACAAAAACGACGTACGGATAAAACGCACTTAAACAGACCTTGCTACACATTCGACACCATTGAAATTTCCATCAACGTTCATCAGGTGACATCTCCGGACTGTCCGTATTAATTCGTACGGCCTTGAGCGCACTTAAGTTTTATTTTGAGATGTATTGTGACCGGAACACCGTTCAAGAAGATCATTGAAACGATATTATCATACATTAAACGACAATAAAGCACCCGATGCCGCTGCCTATCAAACGACGTTTGCATGCGGTCGACAGCGAACAATATTATTCAATCATCTGTGCGCATGCCAATTTTTTAATTTTTAGCTTTAATTTTTTAAAAGACAATGTGTTGTTTAAAACGAATAATACAATGTGCATTTGCGAGTTGATGATTCTGTCGAGAAGGGGAAAACTTAATATTTAAAATGGTACCTCATTTATCGATTTTGGTTGAGTTTCTGACACGCCAAGTCTATCAGCCAATTTAAATTCAAATTTTTTAGACAGTAACTCAATGAAAACAAATTTTATCATTGAAATATGAAGAGAATAATTTTTAAGTATCAAATTTCAGCTACACAATATCTTATCTTAAATTGACAAAATTTTAAATTGGATTTAAAATTAGAACTTTTAAAATAAAAAATTAAAATTTCCCACGTTAATCAAATGCAAAAATTAATTAACGCGTTCATAAATCGTTTTGGGACATTTTTAAACGTCTTATGTTTAACTTAGTACTCATATATACTTTTGATTTTAATTTACCTTTTGAAATTTGACCTGTATTTGCTATGCCAATTAAAAATAAAATAATTTATTGTATACCTTTTATGATGAACAAATTACTCTTCATGTCAATTTCTTAAGGATATACTCGGTTGAAAGCATTAGAATTTGGAGAGTTGCAAGAATAATAATGTTAAGTGATGCAATTAAGTATGCATATATGATGTTAAGTACGCAATTTCAAAGAGTGGAGAGCCCAATTAAAGTTTAAAAAAAATTTATAATAAAGTAATTTAAAATGTTCACATAATTGCAAAGGAATTGGACCAAGAACGCATAATTGCTCAAGCACTAGGAAGAGAGTAAATAAACATTTCGAATTCGTTAACTAAAAATTAGTCAATAAATATTACAATCTCTTGTTTAGTTTATGTGATAATTAATATTTGACTAACTCATGCTGATTACATAAACATTCATTAAATACTTAATGTCACATAGTGGTTCTTTACAGAGACAAATTGGACAACTGGCCTTTGTAGTATAGATCTTTTTTTTTTAAATAGGGTCGCTATCTTTTTGAAATTAGCAGAATATTTTTTATATGTCTCATTTGGAGCCAATTAAAGTTCTAAGACATTAAGCTTTTTTTTAATCCATTCCACACCATTGTAGTTTAATCAAGTGCTACACAACAGTGATGATCACAGTAAAATTATTTAATGAACAGTGAAATTAATTAATTTTTTTATGCAAAAATTATTATTGTGAATTATGCGAGTACCTACATTTAATATTAAATTTATATATAATTTATTATAATATTAATTTTCTTCTACATTTTTACAGATGAGAAAATTGGGGGTGAATACAATGGAAAAAAAAATTGGAAAATAGCAAAAATTAACTAGGCTATATTGCTAAGTATAATAACTGTCCAATAAATATCAGTATTTAGTTTTAGCTTATCTGGCCATAAAGACCTAATCCTGAAGAAAAATTTAAATTTAAATTTTGATTAATTAATTATACGTTTATCTTTTTTATGGAAATATAATCAATTATTACACTATAAAGTGTGGACAATTTTTCCCTTGACCACCATCCCCTCATTATAAAATAAAACATTTTTTTAAGATTCATTTTTTGTATCCATTCTTGAAATTTGAAAGTACGTTTACCAATTTTTTCAACACAAAACCAATACTTGAAAGAAAAATGGTACCAAGTTTTAAATATGATACTTAATAATGATAATAAGTAATCACAACTACATAATAATATGTATACATTTTTAATTTCCCCGTTCCTACGTTTTATTCTGAAAATAATATTATTATGAATGTTATTATAAATTGGCGGGATATTATAAATACCTAATAGACACCTAGGCCAATATTAAAATACAAATTCAAAATTGTACAATTTTTTTTAAACCCTTAAACTCTAATATTATCAGTTATCTAGTAGTTATTTTGGTCACCTCAATTATAAAATCTGTTATTGAATCTAACCATACCCAAGTTATGGTTATTGGTTCGATCATCGTTAGGTACAAAATTCAGCCAACTTTTTTTATTAAACGTTTTTTAATAATGTTTATTAACTAGTACTGACTAACTAATCGTACACTTAAATTATTAATTTAATTTCACTTGATTTAAACTTTACTAGTTGCCCTCTAGTCCTGCCAACGGGCGAAACAAATCCTATAACGCGACTTATATATTATTATAAATTGATGGCTTAGGGCACGCTAGTTATAAGTGACAATATTCAAGAGAGCGAATTTTCATTGTAAATATTATATAAATATCACAACAAATATAAATTTGAGATTTAAAGAACTTTTATACGGAAATGAAGCGCATTCAATTTTCTATCTATAATTGATATCAACAAGTGTATTTTGGACTTGTAACAAGTGTGCGCTTAACCATGGAAGTTAGGTATATTATTACATTTTTTTTTTTTTTACTTTTACTTTTACGCTTTTATATTTTTTACATTAGTGGTCCTTTGCTTCTCGGGTCAATCAAAATGAGAGACTTAACGTTAAAGAAAAAATAATAAAAATGTATTATCAACTCACTGGTAGAGAGCGAAACGGCAAATAGGTATGTTGGATTGCGGTTGCCGGAGACTCTCAGCTCGGCATGTCCGACGGCGACAGTTCAACTGATGGTGTAGAGCGTGCAGCGGTGACGGTGTGGTCGCTCGCGCGGGCACAAGCACAATGTGTTCGCCGGAGAAATTGACAAGATCCGTCTTTACTGTAACGACTGCACGCATGGCATGGTGGTGACCTTATAGCCGGTAGCTAGTACAAGACGTGTAAAATATTATCATACCGTGTATAATAATAATAATAATAATAACATTATTCGTACAAACTGCTACCTACAAGTTATAATATTATATAGTGGGAAACTTTTGGAGCGTTCACCGTCAATTATTGGCCAACAGGCTCGGGAGCGAATGGCGATGGCATATATATGTGTGTGTGTGTGTGTATGCATATGAGCATATAAAAAATGTATACAATAGTTAGATAAGAAATGTATTTTAATACACTGAATATCTATATCGGTTTAAATAATAATGTATTATACTTAAATGTAAAATTTAAAAACAACAAACATTAATTATGTTAATCATGTCAATTATATGTTAATATATTATGTACTATTATATATATTATGATATGTTAATTAATTATGTTGTATTAAAAAATCATATTTTTTCATCATCAACCGATTATACCTATTACTGTACATAACATTTACTGTACGATGAATGTCTAGCAAATAAGCTAACCCGGTTAAGGGATATTAACTCATTTTCGTTCTCGGATTTTTTTTTTAGCACAACACTTATCAGTATAATAAAAAGCTGCAAATTTGAACTATTTATAAAACTGATGGATCAATAATTGTGTATAGAAAAGGAGAACATAAACATCAGAAACCCTTAAAACTTAAAATTAGCGCTACGTTTATTTTTATTTCAACAAACCTCTCACTTAAAAATAAATGGAGGTACTTCGAAAAGCACCAATTTTAAGTTTTGAGATTTATTTGTTTTCCCAAGCCCCCCTCCAAATCTCCGCCAATAATTGCCCCCCCCTCCCTCCTTTGCATAAGCCACTGCGTCCATCCGACCTAATCGCACCATTATTATAGGTATACCATAATATTTCAATAATAATAATTATTCTGTTCAATTTGACTCGATCTACCGTCAACCGAGTGAATCATTAAATAAAAATAATAATTAAGGTAGGTTGTACCTATATACATTATGTCATTCGGGTCGCGTGTAAATAACATTTATTATTATTTACATAATTAACGACGGTCTTCCGAGGCCAACGGAAATAAAAACGGTTTTTAAACTGTTTTTGAAACGTTTTGTTTATTTATTTAAAAAATCATTCGAAAATTCTAATAATTATTAAAAGAGACACTACCTCGTCCACCATAGCATGTTACCTACTATTAAAACCTATAATATATTATATTATTATGGTGCACACTGCACCGAAAATTCAACCTATTAAGCGCGAGCCACACGAGAAAAATAATCTCCAAAGAAAAAAACCTTGCAATATAAGTCGAAAAAAAAAACAAGATTTTTCTTTTAATTTTGACTTTTGTTTGAGTTTATGCAAAATTAATATATAAGTATTGTAGTCCACAGACGAGTGTAACTAAGTGACTAGTGACGAGTGTACAAAATTGTCTTTTTGTATATGTAATACAATAAATACGTTGAGCCTAAAAGTAACAAGGCGAGTTACGATTAAGTCGTAATAGAGAAAAATTATTTTAAAAAATATAATGTGGTAACTGCTTTTCATTAACAGGTTTGTCCAAGTATGCTTGCCATTGAAAAATGTAAACACAAAGTTTCATATCAATATTATCAGTATCAAATTTGTATATTAATTTGTCACACAACTCAATAAGTTCAACTAAAAAAATTTTAGTTTTAATCTTTTTATTTTCAAATACTAAAAAAAAAACTATATTTTCTTATGCCGGTGTCGTAAACTCAAGTAAAAAAACACAGTAAACACTATTAGGTACATTTTTCTCGAAATTTAAAAGAGTAAGTACAATTTTTGTTTTTTTATTGTTGTTAACTGGTATATGTTTTAATATTTATGTGATTTGTATTGGACCATTTGAAACTACTTTGGAACCAAACTACGTAGGCCGACCGATTTTGAATGAAAGTTTCAAATACCAACAGTGATCAGTAGTTTTTTTTTTTTTTTAATAAATATTAAAGTGCTATGGAACTATACTATGCCACATGGAACGAATAGTTGTTCTAGTAATGGTTATATTTAAATACTCTGAAATAAAAGTAGATCTTATGAAGTAAAAAGTAAAATGAATTAAAAGTAAAAAAATTATGATTGGCCTGTGATTTATGATGTATAATATCATTAGGCAAGCAAAAACTAAAATCCGATAAACTTGAACTTGAGGAAATTATATATTTTATGTTATTTATAAAATCCTTTTTTAAAACATTTTTTTAAAGGTTAGTAATTAGTACAAAGTTTTTTTATAAAGCTGTGAGCTGTTTAACCTTTTCAACTCTATTAAAACAGTATTGTTTTAATTTAAATAAAATCCCCGCATAAGCCAAAGAAAATAGGTGCAATTAAGGTCCATAATCTGTTATGCAATAAATAATTATATTTCATTGCAATTGACAATCAGTTACTTCAATGGACAGCTAACACTGATAATTGGAGGACTGTTTGTAAAAGAATATGAAAATTACATAACAGATTGTGCCAATTTGTTTTTTTTTTCAATTAGGTACACTTATATATACCCTTTGGGTGTTCGAGTTTAATTTATTTCTTTAACTAATCAAACAATTTAATTTTAGTACAAACTAAAAAGTATTATCATATACTGTGTAAATATTCTCTCCAAATAGTATACAAATAGTTAAATTATTCTACTAAATAATTTATAATTTTACAGTTTATATTTAAGTATATAAATTTTACACAATTTTAATTAATATTAATCTTAAATTAATAACACTTTTTAAACGATTTTTAATTCGTTGTTTTATTCCTGCTCTGTCCGTGGAATAGTGTTCAAGCAGTGTGGAGTTTTTAACTGTCATCCAAATAAAATTCACAATTTCACAATGAGCTTTTCTTTGTAAATTTCAGGAATAATATCATATCATATAATTGGTTTTAGTTTAATTATCCGCGTATTCAGCTAAGAACATGCTTATATAATAAGAACAAGCTATAAAGTATATCAACAAATGCTTGAACCCTTCGAGTGGTCACTAGGCGATTACTGAAATAATCCGGTTTTCAACCAATCTGTTTGGAGTTGAGCCAAAATACACAACATAACATAAACCACTCGCTTATTTTATAATATATATATATGTATGCTCGACGGGAATGCTTACTAAATAATAATGTTATTGCCATTTATGTAATAACAGAGTAATAAGAAATGTAGGTATGTATATAATATATATAAACACAAATCCAGCAAACGGCAAGACTTTCAAAGTTGAATCCTTAATATATTTATTGCGTACAATTATTTTTCTACAAATAGCATTTTGCAGATTCTTTGAACAATCAAAATATTTACAGAAAGTGACCGACTTTTAACCGATCTTAAATTTAAGCCTAAATAAAACGTATACATATTTACCATTTATTATGTTAGATTAAATTTATAATATAGTATATCAATAGTAGGTATACAGTTAGAAGAATTAAGTAAGAAAAGATTAAGGTTTTATTACTTTCGAAGATAACACTGTAAAATACATTTTTTTCTTGGGCAACACGAACCCAAGTATAAGTATTTTTCGGCTGAATCCAAATCTGGCTTCAGATTTTCTCAAGCACGTTTAGTATTATTAAATCGCCTACAAAGTTGTAAAAAAAAAGTTTGTGGTATTTTCAGCTTGTCTTGTACGTTTGAATAATTTTTAAAACTGTATTTCATAGAGCTATATTATTTTTCGAATTACTGCACTGTGTTTACCGTATGATATGTGTGTTCTGTTAAAGTGGTTGCAAACGGCAATAGGTTATTTAAAGGCAATACAATACCTAGTAATGTTGATGATAACAGAGTAAGAAGTTAGCAATGTGAGGTCAAGCCAGTTAATGCAACTGAAAGTCATTTCAACACTGTCAAACGTTTTGATGTCAATTCAAAATGGAGTACATGCAATTACAGCTTAATATATTATAAGAAGTTTGCTTGAAAGTGCTTTATTGCTATCTAAAAATCTCCATGCATAGCCTAGTTTCTTCATAGAAGACAGAGTTGGGAAAAATTTCTTTAAATAACAAATAAGCAGACAAACAAAAATAAAAAAAAAAAAATCATAAAACGTCTTAGTTAAAATAAAAAGATAACATTTTATTCGATAATTTTCAAACAATATTATTTGAATACATTTTAATAATTACCTATATTTGATTAGTTTAATTTTTTTTTTTTATCGAATAACGTCCACTTTTGTTTAAAAGTCGGAAGTAAAATTTCGGTTCGATCGTGGATATCAGATTTGTCGTGATATTAACATAAGGTCAAGTGAAGTAATTATTGTAAAAGTTAAACGGTCAAATGTAAATGCAAATTTCTTTATAAGAAGAACCAACAAAGTTCGCATTTTATTTAACCATGCAGTATATCTTAAATTGAAAAATTGTCAATGATTACTTTATTTAAAAAATATAATTTGAATTTACCCTATTTATTTGCAATTACACCACTCGGATTATATTTTTTTAGACCGCCGAAAATATTTTCAAATTAAAATCCGTCGCCTTCAAAACCAAAATGATGTCGAACATATAATTAATTACATACCTGTAAACCATAAACATTCAGCACACCTTCTAGTTATCGCACCTATGTACAGGCTGCAATTTATCATAAGCAATGCTCTAAGTCCGTAGGTGGTGTCAGGTGACAATATTGCCAAACGATTTTGCCCATTTATTCAAACTTGCCTGTCAAACTGCCGAATAATAGTTATTAAAACAAATTAATACTTATATTAATATATGAGAGCAAGGTTAGGCATAACAGTGTTAATGGCCGTTCTTACTAGTTTGGCTTAACAATACCAAAAGAAATAAATTATAGGTACGTTAAACTAGATATACACTCAGAGTTGGACATTATTCGAATAATTTGTTATCTAGACAAAGCGAAAAAAAATATTATCCTTTTTAAAATACCTAATATTTATTACTTGATTATTCACAGCAATATTTGTTATTTATTATTATGGATTTTATTTTCATAATCGTTTATAAATTATTATTATTTTTTAAGGATGTCTGAATATATATATAGGTACCATTTTACCTAAAATGTTGTAAGTATTGAATTTTTTTTTAACAAATAATTTATTCAATCTTACGGTTGGGTTAGGTTTAAATTAACAAAGACCGGATTGTAAAACGAAATTTTTGTTTTTCGTTACTTCAGACACTTGTGATAATATATATTTTTATCATGTTAAATGGCATATTATTCTATAGAGTGTTAAGGAGCGTTATAATATTTTAGTACTTCTACCTAGTTAGGTTTAGAGGATTTTTGAAAACTATTTTATCTCCATTGTCCTATAGAGAGTTAGGCCATACCTAGGTGTAGTTTTGTAATTTAATTTTTCTATTCAAAAATTGACTTCTTAAAACTGTATATTATTACCGGACCTACTTATTATATTATATACAGTATACACGTCACCGTATATATTATTTGATTTTTTTTTTCGACAATTTCATCAGAACATATATGTGTGATTTTATTTTGTATATTATACTGGTTGTTTACACTAAACATAACGTGTACCTACCTACTTAGGTAATATTGTATGCACGTTATAGGTAACAATAATATGTCAAAATCAAAATGTAAACATCAAGGTCAATAACGAGATAAATGCATTGATAACGAACTTCGTCTGTTGACAGGCCTATACCGAGGTTGATGACAGTTTTTAAAAGAGGCGGCAACCTTCAAAGGGAAACCTTTAATACTAACTATTCATGTTGTTATTGTTTTTTTTTTTTTTGGAATAATTTTACCAGTTCTAAGCCTAACAAAAATATTATACTACAGGGGAAGTTTCGCCAAGGGCAATATTACTTACAAGTCAGTACAAGTGTTTTCAGGCCCCCCACATTTTTTTTAATAGTATTTATGAATAATGAAATACACTTTAAAATATTCAAACTTTGAAATATCTTTGTACATTGTAAATAATTTACACTGTGTTTTTGAAGGAAGTCGTCTCGTAAATCGACAGACTATTAGGTTTTTTTTTTATACAAATATAATAATATTATAACCATTTGCCAGTTGTAGTGATCAATTTATTAATTTTGTTTAACCGTTGAACTGAATCTTTCATGTAACAAGTCTACATAATAATAAAATAAGTTTTTTTTTTTTAACAGGAGTCAGTTTTCATAGTTTTTCGAGTTAAGTAGTTTTAAATTTTATTTCCAAATTGTTCTCGTTATAAGTGTCATCAGTTAAACTAATTTATTAATAATAATTTGTATATTTTTTTTTTGGTGATATTTTAGGTGGAAAAGCGATTATTTATTAAAATTAATTAACCATTTGATAACTTTACTAACAAGTTTTGCTGTAATTTATCAATATTATGTTAAGTAGTAAATTGTGTGTAGTACGTAAAAAATGCACTTTCCTAGTTAGGAAAATTAAGAAAATATAATTTGTTTTATATTCTGAAAAAGCCAGTTTTTGTATTATTCCAAATATGAGTGAAAATTAATTTGTCCGATTTCGCATTATATTAAATTTCATTTTTATAAATTATCATTGAAGTTATAACACCACTTACCGTACATCATACACTTCACATCATAAAGTAAATAAAGTATATATATAGAATTTGTTATTACACTGCACACACCATTTTAGTAGGTATATTATCGATTATTTGATGTATTAAATTTTAGTATGATTCTAAAGTTAATAATTTTTCACTAAATGTACAAAAACAAATTATTTAAACAGGTGTTTTAACCGACACACAGCTAACATTAGCCAACGTTATTGCAGTTCATAGGTTTAGACGAGGCTATACTAGGTAATGTGTGTGAGTTAAGCTGTTTACCAATTTTATTCTGTTTAATCAAAGCGTTATAACAACAATATAAAATTATGATTCTATACATTTTTTAAGTATACACCATGAATTTCATCAAAACTCAACTTCTAAAAAAGCAACACGTGATTAACTTAGTCAAAGAGTTTGTTTTAAGAAACTTTACAGTACAGTAAATTCTAGGGCTACTATTAAGATAGTTGAAAATATTAGAGAGTAAAATTAAGTTATTTCTATTTGCAGCAGAGTTGGGGATTATTTAAACAGTTTTTTTGTCTGAATAATAATAAATACAATTTTTAACACGGTCAAACTTACGATTAATAGTTGTACTTACAAAGTGTAAATAACAAATTTTAAAAAATATATTACCTTACCCGATTGATAGTCTTTAGGCTGGTAGCCGACAATCACTGATAAATAGTTCATTATTATTGAAATGTGGGTTACAAGAAATTAAAACTTTTTATAGAGATTTGATGTTAAAAAAAAAGAAACTGCATTGTTTAGTTTTTTTTAAGCTTTGTTGCAAATAACAGGTTTATCCGTTTTCTTGAGAAAATATTTTTGTAATATTACAATAAAAAAATACAGTAATTATTAATATGATTTCTAAGGAACTCTGTTAGTGTACATAAATGTAATTCTTAATTTTAACAATCTAAATATAAGTGAAATAAATATACCGGTTTTATATTGAAAAATCAAAAAGTCGTTAATAGTAACTTACAATACAAAACGTAAATACTATTTTAGTAACAAAAACATTGGGTACAAAATAAACAATTCAGAAAACATTTTCATGTCTATTATACGTCCAACGTTTTATTATTTGTACTCCAGATTCGGTTATGTAAAAATAATATATAATTAAGAAAAAAATTTAAAAAAATGATAGAGAATAATTAAAAATTCATTCTACGGAAATAATACAGCTCGACTTAGCTACGTTTTATTTATTATACGCTAACATACAGCACAATAGGACAATGATCACTGCCCAAAACTTCATGTCTTATGACGTTATCGCAAATGCTTTCCTTAAGCCTATCGGACACAATAAAGTAATCAATTCTCCTGAAAAAAAAAACTGATATAAATACGTGTTCAAGCTAAACAAATTATTAAAATATAAAAATTATATATATTTATATATTTAAAAAAATATTAAAATTATTTAACAAATTTGTAGATTAATAATTTTAAATAACATTTTATTTTCTATCATATTTTGAAAAGTTTTTCAATAGTTTGACATTAAATTGGGAGTTTTAACACTTTCCGTTATAATTATTCACAAAGACTTTAAAGTTGGTCAACTACAAAGTATGTTCTGCCTCACTGTGCTAACTTTTTTTTTTAAATCATTATCTCATTAAATAGAATATGCAAGTTAATGTAACGCACCATCCACAATTTCTAGCTCGGGCGTTACTAAAGTAGGTCCAAAATGTGTACGCCCCTTCCAGATCGGGATATAACTGTCTAAACGTGTCCACAAATCCTTGCTTGAGCAATAACGACATGTTATCTCTTTCTTCTTGGGTGAATCCGGCAGTCTTAGTGTTTGTGGAAGGATTTTTAAGATCTACACAATAATTAAAAATAATATCAAGCACAATTTAATAACACACAAAATTGAATAATAATTTACCTATTTCTTTGTGCGCGACATTTAAATCTCCTGTCAGTATGACTGGTTTTTTTGCGTCCAATCCTTTCAAATAGTTTCTAAATTCTTCGTCCCATTTCATTCGTTTCGGCAATGTTTTCAACCCTTGTCCGGAGTTTGGAATATCTATACGCCGTATGAGGTGTTTTAATTTTAGTAAAAAATTATTCCATTACACAAAATGTTTTATTTAAATTACAAGTGGCCACTAGAATAAAGTCATCGTATTCGGCTTCTATAACACGGCCTTCGTCGTCATTCAGTTCTTTGATTTCCTTGCCCATGCGTACATTTAGGGGTTTCTTTTTTGAGTACAAAGCCACTCCAGAGTATCCAGCTTTACTGGCTGTAAACAAATAAACACATAATTAATGAAAGACAATTAAGCTGACTGTTTTGTAAAGGAATATGTTTTGGTTTTTTTCCAACAGAAATTTTATTTTTTCTTGCGACAACTATTACTATTTCACCTAAACATAACCCGTACAAAGTCAAACGTATTACTTTTTGTGAAAAATTCAAATGAAACATACTGTTTTTCGTAATGGCAAAAGAAACATATATTATGGACATTGAAATATAGACTGATTTACTGTACCTTGTATTATTTAGATAATTGAAGCTAGCAATTATATTTACACTTAAATGTAAAAAAAGATTACTGAATCTATAAAGAATCGTAGTATGGAAAATTATACTCGTTATTGGTCAATTTTGTCAACAACTTAAAAAAACAAACGCAAACAACTTACCTAAAACTACTAAACGGTATATTAGGAAAAATAATGTTGATACGAGATTGAAGAAAATTGTAAACATAATTTACGTGACTGAAAAGTTTATTTTTTTAAAGGTTTAAAATAAAACAAAGTATTCTGCACAATATAAAAATACTAAACATTATTTACCAGTGTTGAGATAAAATTTGTATCCCGGTAGTTTTGCATCTTCGGGCATTTGTTTTTCCGTACATTTCGTTTCTTGTAAGCACAAAATGTCTGGGTTTTCTTTATTTAGATAACCCAATACATCTTTCTAAAAATAAAAATAAACAATAGGCAGGTAGTAATGTTTTCTAAATAAAAAGGCAACAGTTGGCACATTTTGAATGAAGTAACTCGAGTTTGAATTTTAAGGTTAAAAAAATTAAGCTAAGCATTTAGAGGATGCATTTTTTTTCTAGATATATAATATAAAATTTTTATACCTTAAGCCACGCTCTCAATCCGGCAACATTCCATGATACGATTTTTGTATTCCAAACTTTGTTGCTCAAAGATTTCTTGTCACATTTGAAATTTAAACTATCCAAATCGACTTGACTCGATTTCAATTTTTTGGCCGCAGAGTCATCGCCTTCGTTATCACGATTACGTTTTTTCGAATTGTCTTTTGTCGAGGACACATAATCTCCCATTTTCTTTTGTTTGCCACTCATTTTTACTGGTTTGTGATGATGAGGAAATTTCCTATAAGTACAAATAAATATTTAAATAACACGATTCTATCTAGGTATAAATCTAGTGATTTGAAAAATATAGGAAAGTTCATCTTGAGAGACTTTATGACGAATTCAAGGTAGTGTAAAATAACTAAAATAAACAGTTAAGACTTGCACTTTTGTACTTAGTACAGAAATCATTTTAGATAAAAGAAAGTTATTTTGTTGATAGATAAATGTTGTCTAGGCATGTCTGAACCAAAGACAAAATAAAGTGTTAAATAAAGTTTTTAATATTTTTAATGTCACGGATCATATGGGATGTACTGTATGACGTATAAAAATTAGAATTGATAACAACTTCGTTTGTGGATAAATTAAATCTATATATAAATCTATAATTAATATGTACTAAAATATTTTAATTACAAATGATTACATTTAATTGTGGTCTATGTTTAGGTTGTTGGTTTGAAAATCCTAATTAAAAACATTACGAGTGGGAATAATTGTATGAGTCTAATTAATTTAAATTAAATGATTTGAATACCTACCCGTTTTTTTTTAACATAATAATTAGGTATCGTTAATTAAAGATATTGGTACTTAAACTAGTCGCACATGAAATTTTTTTTGAAATTTTTGTATTATTTTATTTATTAAATTATAAAGTATAGTTTTTGAGAATTGTCTCATTATATGAAGTATTATCAATGGCTGGTTTCTTCTATGAGACCCCTCATTTATGTTCACTTAAACATATCACTTACGCTTATTGTAATAAATAATTATTTTTCAGTAAATTTTGTTTTTATTTATTAATTGAACTTTAAAGAGCTGGACTAGCTAAATCACTTCTAAGTTTTTGTTCATCTATTTTAACTATATTTCACCCACCCCCTCCCTCCATGCTTAATGACTAAAAAGTAACAGAGATAAACAATTTCCGACTTCTCCGAGAACTTCTCAGTTAAAAAAACAAGCGATATAAAAAAAAAAACCTCATTAGCAAGTCTGACGACAAATTCAGACTTCATTGTCGTTTTCAGCAACAAAAGTTTCACAATAGAAAAAAATCGCTCGAGAGCTAATCCACATTTGTTCCAAGACGTCGAACCAGCTCAAAAAAATGTGTTTGGTAGTTGGTACAATTTTAAAAACGTCATGCTTACAAAGTATAATAATATTGTAGTTCGCCAAAACGGTGTAGTCTTGTTGTTATTTTCGGATTCAAAATTTGGTTAGAAAAAACATAATTCACAATCGGCCTGAAATCGGTTCATAATTGTACCGTAATACTTTTGGCCGGATATAATTTTCAATTGTAAATAATAACTTTATGAATTATTACAATTAGTAATATTATGTTCGAATCGATTGAACGCGCAACAAAAACAACAACAGCTAAAAGAGGATAAACGATACAAGTAGGATTTGGGATTTATATCCGTTAGATGACGATTTAATCAAGAGTTATCGTTATCACACCTTGGGTCGCGGCGGCCCCCGATATTGATAAGAACCTTCTTATCTATGTCTGTGGCCGCGACGCGGCGTCCGGACTAGGGTTCGAAAACAAGGCAATAACCTGGAATGTTTACCTGGCGGAGGGGATGGAAAATACTGTTATCAATTATTGTCATTGTTGATAACAATAATAATATGTCGTCTTTGCCTTTTTTCCTACCACCTATATAAACTATATTATTACAATAAAATTGTTTGCCCCGTTAAATTTTCATTCGATCATGGTAAATTTCTCCGAACAATAAAAGCGATCGCAGATCAGGACTATTGAAATCAAATCGTAAAATAGTTTTTTTTAATTTTAATAATTACACTAAACGACAAATTATTAAAAAAAAATCATTAAAAACAAACATTTCCAATCGTAAAAAAAAGTATACCGTAAAAACATTTTTGTTTTAATTGCTCATGAAAAGGAACTTTCGTTTAATTCATGTTATTTATTTTTGGTCTTAATAATAATAATTTTATTTTGATCTACATTTCTGCCGGCGTTGACTGATGTATGGGGTTTATTTGACAGTAAGTCAATCGTTTTCTATAATTTAGACTTTCCTAGATTTGTAATTGATTGGTAATTTTGCTTAGCCAATAATAATGACGATTGATATTAACTGATGGAAGATCGAACAAGTGTAAATTCCAACGAGTCCGTCAGTACCAGCGACGAATATGAAATTATTCCCGAGAACGCATTAAATGTAAATTTGCTATTTTTTCCTAATGGATGTACATTTTGAATAATTATATGAAAATTTCTACTACCTATTTTGTTATAATTTTTAGATATCTAATAGCCGACCCGAGTTAAATATAGGCGGCAATGGGGATTTGGAACATTTGAAAAAGTGTCTCAACGAGATATTAGACGAAGAGGCCAACTACAATAACTTCACAAATAACATCATGGACGATAAAGACACGAGCTGTTGCAATACACAACAGTTGCCGAAGAATACAGATTTTGTTTCCGATAATCTCGGTAAATTACTAAACCAATAATTATTAAATGTAATGACGACCAAAGTAATTAATTAATAATTATCTGTGATTAGACTCGTTAGTTTATAATGGTTTTTTTTATCGTATGTACTGAAATTATCTTATGTAATTGAAGGACACAGGGGAAAAACGGTAGTAGGCACACTATGAAAATATTAGAGTATAGCAAAAACAAAATTCGTGAATTCCTCTTCCTCTTACATAAGAACAAAAAAAATCGTATTAAATGCTATACTAATAAAAAATGTATTTATTTAAACAATCTATTGACAAAAATAAAAAAAATAATGGCATAAATAAAAAAAACTATTTGAAAAAAAAAATGTTCATAATGTGACAACTACCGTTTTTCCCCTGTGCCCTTTAATTGTCATTAATACCTTTTAGCAGGAAATTAGTAGACTTGTATTATAAAAATAATAACTTAAGTTATAACATTAAATACTTCATTATTGTTATCATTAAATTGTTCTTAGACATTATACAAAAAGGCACAATGTTTGATGGGATTTGCTATCTGGGATCGGCTAGTATAACACAACCCAAAGAAAAAACAGAAATATTGAGAATTATGGCCATATTAAACAGGGAACGTGTTTCCGGACAAGATATGAAAATTTCCGTATCAATACCAGTGTCGTCCGAAGGAGCTGTAATGTAAGTGTTCAGTGGTTAATGTGTAGTAAAATAATTGAATAGTTAATTTAAGTTTCAATTTTAATAAATGATTAAATATTTTATTAGCTTGTTTGACGCAACGACCAACACTATAATAGCCCGTTATGAGATCGAAAGCATAATGTTCTATGCCAATGGCGTAAACGGTACAAAAGAAGCATCGTGTTTTGCGTTTAGCTGGGCGCATGGAGAAAACAAAGAAAATGCTCTATACCAATGCCACGTTTTTCGTTGCTCTATTCCGGAAGCAGTATGTATTATTTTTTTCTATTTAAATACTTAATTAACAATTAGTTAGATAAAATATTAATAATGTGTAGTTATAATCTTACCATTTCGTATTGTATAAAAGCCATATTATAATGTAGATAACTTATAATTATAGTAAAATTAAATCTTTTTTTTTTCTCTCTTTACTAATTACAATTATTAATTATGTATTAATGCTACTACATTAAATACGTTAATACACACGCACAATACAGGTATAAAGATTTTATTATACTATTTTTTTTCACTTGTTATTGAGCCACTAGGTCGTGTTCAAAAATAATATTTTTCTGTCGTAACAGTTGTTCAAACAGACTAACCATGATATATTCTGTTTTGACAGGTGAATCGCGTTTCAAATTGTTTTGTAAAAGCCTTTCAAAAAGACTCCAAGTCCGTAACGAGTTCTACGTCGCCAGAGTTGGGTTCGAATATAACTTTAGACATGCAAAACAAAAATGGTTCAAATGAAATATATATCTTTGAAGTGAGTTTGGAAATCAAAGAAGACGATGGAAAGGTATAGTTTTTATAATTCTATAGCAAAAATAATTGGTTTAAAGTCTTGATTACGCTGGGCAAATTTACTTGAGTGAGTTTTACAAGTTTTTACTTGCCGTTGAGTTGTTAGCAAATTGGCCTATAGCGTAATCGAGGCTTTCTCAAGCTTATTTTAATTATGTATAAACTGATTAGGGAGGATTCATATCAGTGCCGAGGGATCGGAATTTTCTCAAACTACGAGCAAACGTAGAAAAACAAGTCTGTTTAACCATCAATCAAGTGGTGTCTGGAACACAGCAGCGAATACTGCAACTAGAACGATGTTTTGGCGTTCTCGTTTGTCCGGGCCGTAACGTCAAACAAAGCGACATGCAACTTTTGGACATGGTATGTATATTGTGATGTTATACCGTAATCGCAATGAACACATTGTTTTTACCACTTAGGTGTCCATGGGAACTGATTTATCGGACACTGACGGAAACAACACTATTTATTTGATCACCGGACACTGGGATCCTTCGGACAAAGTTTTTGAACCTCTCAATAGCGAAACTCAATGTTCTTATATTACGGTGGCTGTAGATTTGGTCATGCGTAAAATAAAAGAACCCGTTCGCCTGGCCATCGAAACTCCTATCAAAGTGTACGCATCCAATGAAAGGTTTTGGGTTTTTGGCCGTAAACAAGTTACCCATCAGTTTTACTTAAATTTACAGCAAGTGAGTACTTATGTCGTTAATATCGCCGCAAATCGAGTGTTAATATTATGTTATGAACGTTTTAACTTGATTTTTTTTCATTTCCAAGATCAACGTAGGCAGTTCCGATATTGAATACAAACTCTTAAACATCGATACTTCCGGCGAAATGGAGAAAAGTCGTCTAAATCTAACATTAAACAATTTGGCCAACTTCATGCGATCTCAAAGTATAAATACCTTGGAGCTTTCGCCCCCCAAAGACGAAGATTTATCGGGTATTTTGAGTATAAAACTTAAATACTTTTTTACTATGCCAACTGTGTGTAATCGATTTGAACGAAAATAGATAACGATGAGCCGCTGGTTAGCGGTACCGGAGACGTTTCGAAAGAGTGCAACGAGGTAGAATTGGAATCGTGGAAAGACGTCTTGTTGAAATGGGTTACGTGTAAATCTCCTCCTGCTCGCCAACTAGCCGAACTAGTCAAAGAAGGTATACCCGAAGCTCTACGCGGCGAAGTATGGTTGCGTTTAGCCAAAGGCGATTTGGATCCTAAGCTCATGGACACTTACAGAATACTACTCACCAAAGTAATTATTTACCCTTTCCGAGTTTTTTGTGTAGAACATTGACATATATTCGGTAGTGTAGTCGTAAGCAAGGATTAGGAACAGAATACATACTTTAACAACAAATATTCTACTTGTTTAACTTATAAATTATTATTATGATATAAAATGTCGATAAAGATTGAAAATGTATTTATAAACTGTTTTTTGTATTATTATTTTAATGTTCATAAACTTAATCTGTTTATTTTTGACAAAAGAACTTGGACTGTTAAAAAAATAGCCTATACTTGTTTACTAAAACTTGCTTTGCTCTGATGAACATTTTTGTTTGTTAACAAATTTGCATAACACTGTTGTTTTTTGTATGTTTGTTCAATAAATTGTAATTTTTCCCAATTTGATTTCATAGGAATGTGATTGTGGCGGAACAATTCAACGAGACATTCACAGGACGTTTCCGGCTCACGACTTTTTCAAAGAAACCGGCGGCATTGGCCAAGACAATTTGTTTCATTTGACCAAAGCCTACGCTGTGTACGACACTGAAGTCGGATACTGTCAAGGTCTGACGTTTCTCGTGGCGACGTTGTTATTACACGTACGTATGTTGTTTCTAAGATTTTAACAGAGCGTCGACTGAAATATGTAACGGTTTGCTATTATTTCACGTTGTAATATTTATGAACAGATGTTTAAATAACGTGTTATTATCTTAACTGTTTTTTTTTTTGTTCCAGATGCCCGAAGAACAAGCGTTTTGTGTCTTGTTAAAACTGATGTACGACTATGGTCTTCGTGAGTTCTACAAAGACGGATTCGAAACGGTCTACTTGAAATTGTACCAGTTGAATAAAATCATGGAAGTATGTTATTTTGAAAAAAAAAGGATTGTTTAAAATATTAGTATTTGTTAATCATCGGATAAATCAGTTTCAAAACCGATCATCAAATTGTCTTATAGGAACAAATACCGCAATTGTACAACCATTTCAACGCCAACGGAATTGAAGCACACATGTATGCGTCTCAATGGTTTCTTACGCTGTTCACAGCCAGGTTTCCGCTTTTCTTCGTGTTCCGCATCATGGACGTCGTACTCCTTCAAGGGTTGGATACCTTGTTCCAAGTGGCGATTGCCTTGTTACAGGTGTGTATTTTCCGAAAAATATGACTACTTACTCATTTCAAAAAAAAAAAATTATTTTGAAAATATATTGTTTTTAGTTTTGTAAAAAAGATTTACTGCAGCTGGATTTTGAAAACATCCTGAAATACTTTCGGGTGACGATGCCGAAAAAAGTTCGAAACGAAGAAGTAGCCAAACGGTTAATAAAAAACGCTTGCGCTATAAAACTAAAAAAACTGAAAAAATATGAACAGCAGTTTTTGGCCCTGAAAGGTGAACGGTGTTTTGCCACAGTTGTTTGTGATAAGTTACAAATATATTTTTACGTTTACAGAGGCCCAAGAAAGTGCTGAAAGTTTTACTAGTGAGTTGGACCAAGTGAAAATGACATTGAAGCAAACCGAGGAAGAAAAAAACCGTCTGGAAGAAGAGCTTGTACGGGTAAGATATGGCGCAGAGCACTAAAACCTAAAAAAAAAATAATAAGAAATTCAATTACAAAAATAAAAAGTTTGTTTAATATTTTACAATAGGTTTTTGGGACTGTCAAAATACAATTGTATTTAAAATAACTCATTATTTTTATATTATCTTTTGTTATTAATTATTTAAATAAAAAATGTCCACGCATTATTATAATTATGCTTAAATGAAATTTTAAACATTTTATATTGCTTAAATTATGTACTTGATTAATATTTTTTTTTACGTTTAGGTAAAAAATATATTAAAGAAAGAAATTAAAAAAGCTGACACAGAAATTACCCGAGACCAGACTATTATCAAAGAATATAAACAAGTAATGTTATCTGCAAAAAAAAATTCTTTATATTTGTTCTTATTAAAACAATTTTTTTTTGTTAGATTTGTCAAAGACTAGATGCAGAACAGGCCTCTATGAAGGCTGTGATAAAATTACTAAAAGTATGTACTTAAAAATATATATTATAGATAACTTATTAGCGTTAGCACAATCTGATGAGAGAAGGCATTGATTGAGATCTGAGGACTATAATTAAAACCAATACCTTTTCTCACTTGGACATCAACTGCTGTAATTAGCCAAATTTTTGTCTTATGAGACCGACCACCTTTGACATATAAATATATATTTATATGTTGAGGTTGTGGGTTTATTTGGCTAGTATAATATAATTTCGTGTTTATTTGTTGTGCAGAATACGTTGGGCGAATGCAGTAGATGCCGGTCGTTCCTCGACACGCCTTTAATCGGCAACGACGCGTGCTCCCAGAGTGAAGTCGCCACCAGTAACGCGGTAGCCGAAGAAAGTATACTTACCAAACGCGTTGCCGAGCTTGAAAACGAACTAGCTCAAACCAAACTGGCGTTGGTAGAGTCGGAATGTCGAAATCAGGTATGTGACAGACGTGTGATTTTATTCGGGTGGTGGCGGCAAAATGTTCATAAAGAAAAACATACATTTATTATTAAGGGTGCCATTTAACAGGATTTAGGTCATAAACTAGGTGTGACGTTTTCCGAACTTCAAGCGTCCAAAAATACGCTAGCGCCGTGGCTGCAAAAAACGTTGACGTCCATTAAAGAAGTGGCCACCAACAAGACAAACGATCAGTTACGCATGATAGTGAGCCGAAGAGATTCGGAACCAAATCCCCATTCCTTTGGCATTTAATGAATCGTATTGTATTCGATGATAAATTTAACGAACAAAAAAAAAAAAAGAAAAGGTTATCATGACTAATAATGTTTGTATACAATAATAACTATGACTAGTATATGTATGATTATAATATAATTAATTATATATAAATTAAGTTGTAATTTCAACAATAACAATAACTAGAAATATATTTGAGCTTCATAGCTTTTAGTAAGTATAAAACGGTATATAATACGTACAACAATTATTGTTAATATATGAGATTAAACATTTCAACACGATATTTATTAGAGTATTTTACGGAAATTAATTATCTTAATTATTTATTAAAGTTTATATACTTTGTATACTATTTTTTACTATTTTCCATAACACTATAAATAACTTACAATAAAAGTAATTGATAAAGCTGCGTTAAAATACAACAACAAATGAAATGTTTATGTCGGAACATTTTTTTTTTTTTTTTGATGAATTTTCTCATAAGGACCGATAAATGTTGGTTACAATTATTTGTTTAACTAATTTGAGTAGTTGTTTTTTTCATTTATATTTTGTTATTACTTAGATTGGAGTGAACTAAAAATTAAACAAAATTGTTATGATTTTTAATTTGTACGATTGTTTTGAACGCTTGTAAATAACGGTAGACAGATCTCCTGTAATATTTTTTATGAACATGTTGTACGCTAATTAAATAAAGACTTATAATATAATATATATATATATAAATATACATATACATTTTATTTACTATTTATCAATAATTAATAATTTTAATGATCTTTCTCACGCCCAAATACTTAAATGTATAGTTTTTTATTTATTTTTTTCTGTTTATTTTTTTTTTTACACGTTTAACATTCTGAATGCAAGCAGTTTTATGAACGCTTGATTTTTGTTAGCTAGTATTGTTAATATATTATAAAAAACTTAAGGGACGATCGTTACAATTTACACAGCTTTAACGTAGTGCCTTATATTAACACTAACATGTAATATTATGTGTACCGTGTAAACAGTAGTAAAAAAAACAAGATTGTGAGTTCATAAAAATGTTATAATAATAAACACATAAACTGACTTTAATTGTTATTATTTACAAATCTTTAAATAGTTTACAAAATATAACACGATTTTTTGTCAAAAATTTCTTCTTTATGATTTTTATGTTAAAAATTTAAGATCTATAAATTTAAAGGGTTGGCGAAAACATGGTTTGTTTTCAATCCATTCTAGTTGAACTTTTTTCTAAAAACTTAAAAGCGGTTTTTGTTTTTAAAAAAAAAAATACTAGTGTTTAAATAGTTATTAAAAAATAAAAATGTATTTATACAAAAAATCAAACAGTAAATATAATTATAGTTTTCTAGTAGGCACTACTGATCTACTGGGGGATCACTTAAAAATAATCACCCTGTGCAGGAAAAACCCAGTGAAATATTATTGACCTTTTCGGATTGCCATTAAAATGGGTAGACACATATCCTTATTCGGTAAAACGATGTAGATTTTTTATAGGGCAAATATTTGAACATCATTAGACTGAAAATAAAATCTAGTTTGACCTTACGACATAAATTAACACCTACCACCTATTCAAAAGTCTGCAGATACCTAGGTGTGTAGTATTGCGAAAATACAATTATTTGAATAACAAAATATATTTTATGTATAAATAATAAATATTCTCACGAGTTGCCGTTTGGTCGATAATTTTTACTATTTCGACCGAAATGGCATAACTCGATTTGTGCGAAAGGCCTCAAAAAGTTTGGGGGGTAATTTAATTTTTAAGCTAATTAAACAATTAGCTTAAAAACCGTACGAAGGTGTAACTTTGGGAGAGTTGTAATTTTGTTACTAAATGTATACAATATTGATAATCCGCAGGTAGGTACAGCTCGTTAACAGCAGATAGTAGGTACACTGTCTATGTGTAAAGTCCTCATAAAAAAAAAAAATATATATATCGTTTTGTCTCCAGAAAAAACCACCGACTTTACGGGGATTCGCGATGCCGTTTCTCACCGACGTCGCCGTTTGTTACAATAGAAAACAAAATCAAATTAAAAAAAAAAAAATAACGAAACCCATTTGGATTTTAACACTCTCGCGAATGAGACACACGCGTTATATTAGTCGGCTTTCGCCGGTCTGTACATAATATCGTACAAGGTAGGTGGTAGAGGCGCCTCTGTGTAACGGCACCGTAAAGAAACGACGACGGAGGGGGGGGGGGGGGAGGTAGCTTAAGTACAAGAAAAAGGCGCGTAAAAATTCAAAATTGCTCGCAAGGGGTTAAAAAAGGCGAGCGGAGTTTTCATTATGATATGCGCGATTTCCCTCGTTGGCGGCGGCGGCGGCGACGGTTGTTATAATATAATATGTATGTATATAATATCCGCCGTCTTTGCTTAATCATAAAACCCGGCCTTGTGCACTAGCATACAAGAATACCTCGTCTTAATTTTTTAGCCGGCTCGCTTACAACACACACACACACAAGTCTCGAAGTCACCCCCTCACCCCCCCAGAGTGACGGGGGTGTTTTTTAACGGTCTCCGGGGGCCAGTTTTTGCGCGCCGCGTTTCGCCGGGGGATGCGCTCCCGCCGTTTCTGGCGCGAACAAAATTAATTATACAACCGGCACCCCCTCGCCTACCGCCGCCCAAAGTGGGTTTTTCCGAATTAAGGCCGGACTCGCCCCCCCCCCACGCGAAACAAGAATTTTAAAAATCTTTAATTTAGCGTTAAACGAGGAAAAAAATCCGTCAAAATCTGAACTTTGTCCGGATATGATTGTATAGTGTTAGAGGTGACTGTGAGCTATTCCGTACGTTACCCGTTCGATTATCGACAAGCGTGAAATTGATATCGTTTTTTTTTTTTTTTACATGCTTTTCTTTAGCTCGCTAACACGGTGGTACACGTTTGTGCGGGTATTTTTCAAATCTTGCAATATCAATATAACCCCACTTCCCGATGTCGCAGAGGGCTGAAACCTCGGCACGGACACTCGTCTTGGACGACAATACAATATCCTGTAATCGTATTGGGACTCGGGCATCCAGGTCGCCCTACACAGGGTCAACTGTGGGGGTCGTTTCACTTAAAATTTCATGTTTTTCCAAAGATTCCAAAATTAATTTAATAATCTATTCGGCGATTATTAAATACCTTTAACAGGACTAAAAAGTAAAAGAATAAAAATAAAAAAAAAACTTTTTTTAAAAACATGCTTTTCTAAAAAAAAAAAAAAAATAGTAAAAAGGGAACTAAAAAGTAAAAAATAATTTTATTACGAGAACAATTTACCAATCGATTGTAGCATATTTTATTTAAAATGGCAATTACTTTGAAAATTAACTACAATTTTAAATAATGTTGAACATCTTTAATTTTTGACTAAAAAGAAAAGCGTGGGCCCAATTCAACAAAGACCAAATTAATTGAGTTAAGTAATATGAAATGTATGTGTCACACACAAATATTAAACTAAATTTAAATTACAAAAGAACTTACAATATAAAACATTATCTGATAAATTAATTAGGGATAAATTTATTATATTAAATTATATCATTTTTGTGTAATATAATCATTTTTAATGGTTTTGTAAACTCTGCGTTTTTTTTTTGTTACCTGTATTATTAATTTGAAAGTTTATAAGTTATATTGACCTGACTGGAAACAAATTTTATAATATTATTAATTTTATTGAAATCGTTGAATTATATTATTATTATTGTTGTTTGTAAAACTAAAACCAAGTCTCAGAAGTGTATACCCTGTACATAATGTACTTAAAACATTTTTTTGGTTATTTTTTTAAAAATTATTTTGAAGTTTTAAGTTTTTGTGTAACGTTAAAGACTAGTTGTAACCAAAAATTCAATGTAAAAAAAAAAATGTAATATACAATATTTATTTTTATTAATAAATTATGAACAATTAAATTAAAATTTTCTTTAAAAAAAAAAACACAATTAAAATAAAATAGTTATAAAACATTTTTAATTTTCATCTGGTAATATTAATTTATTTTGTATACTATTTATAATTCTCTATTCTTCAAAAAAAAAAATCTTATGTTTTCATTAATTCATTAGTATCTTAAGATAAAAAAAATAAAGAATAAAATATGCTGAAAATATTAAACATTTCCGTGAGTATGAAAAAAAAAACCAAAATATGCAAAAACAAACCATTAAGTTTTGATTCTTTAAAATGCAATTAAAATTTGTAGGTATAGCTTCTTATTTTTAACCGTTCTGTAAAAACATGCAAATGCATAAACTTCCAAATAGGCTACATAATTTCCTAAAATATACTTAACTCGATGACATATTTTGTTGTCAATAGTTTAATAGATCATTGACAAGGATCATTGTAGCATAAACGTTAAAGTCATTTTGAGTTTTTTAATCAAGTACGTTTAAAAGTCGAATTTCTTAACTTAAACCTCTCCAACGACTTGTTACGGTATTTGGTGTTATTCTTAGGTACCTACACAATAAGATGGAATATGATGAGGTCGAAAAGATTACAGATTTTAACTCTTAAATACATATTATAAGGTATAAAGTACCCATGTACTTTAAGGATCTGTAGTTTTGACATCATTGTTACAATAAATATAACTAATAAGAATTGATAACAACTTGGATTAATTTAATATTGTCTTATCAGGTTTAAAAAAAAAAAAAAAATAGTCCACATTGAAAAAAAACTGGTTGATGAGAACATCACATTTCTATACAACTTCAAAATTAAGTTGGTATGAATGTATTGTTGATATAACATACAAATATGGGTAGACTTGGGTAGGTTTAATCCACTCTTAAACTTTAATAGCCTCTCAAAAAGAAGAAGATTAAAGGTAGTAAAGGTAGGTTTAAAGTGATTGTGATGATCTTCGCAGCGCACGCTGTCTGACAAGTAGAATTGAACGGCCAATTTCCCAGAAAAAAAAAATGTAAGCAATAAAGATAGAGGAACTCAAAATAGGGGAGTTTGTCAGTTAAAAAGAGGGGAGGGTAAACGACAAGTGAATATTGGCGTTT